CCACAAATCACGGTGCGATAATCTAAGGAATTAGAAGATCGAGATGTTTGCGTGTTTTGTACCCAAATGTCACCATTCAAACAATGGTTTGTTTAGGGGGATCCGTGTGCTGGTGGGGGTGATGTATATCAAACACGTCGAGAGAGCTGTGGTCCACAAAGTGCTCTCACACAAAGTCTAACTGTATGAAAATTCTACCCGCTAAATGTAGCATTCTTTACACGGAAAATTATATAAAAAATTCACAGACAACATATGTTCACATTCATTGCAAAATTCAAACGGGATTAGAAAATAATTATTTTCTCTCATTCACTTGCATTGAGGATTTTTCAACCTAGAGGTCCAGCGGGGTTAGCGGAAGGGGTGGGACTTACCAGCTCTATAAGCGCTGACAACAAAACAGACCGGCTCTGGCCAAGCATGTGGAAAATCTTTGGATGGTCGATCGGTGCAAAAAAAAAAAAATAAAGAATGTTTCTTTAATGTTATTTACGTCCCAAAAAATAACCAAACGGGAGACAAATATGGAGCTTTTCCACTGCATGGCACGGTTCGGTATGGCACGCTTTAGTGCTTTTCCACTGCATGGTCCAGTAGCACCTCATTGCACCAGTTCCGCCAATGTTTTTTTTTTTTTTAGCCATCTTTAGTTTTTTTTAGCCATCTTTAGTAAATTAATACATCACATTAATACATTTTAATTAATACATTTAATTTGATCATTTGAGTTTGAAAACACTAAACCTGATTGAGATAAAACAACCCCTGCTCAGTATTTATTTAGTCACCTTGTTGTCTTTGTCTGCTATCTGCCACAGATCCCGTTTATCGCCACTTGCGGCTAATAAGACGCATTTTACTGCCTTATTAAACTCCAACATTAGAAAGTTGTCAACTGGAGGCAGGTACATTTACAATATTGGGAAATGTACTAACACTGGACCATTGGTGGTTCTATGATCTACTTAGGCCTGCAATGCTTTTGGGAAACACTGCCCTGGGGGTGCGTTCGCCAAAAGCATTGTTAGCCAACTGTAGTCGTAATTTCTGTTGTTATCAGCATAGTTCAACAAGTCGGTGTTTCCCGAAAACATTCAGTGGGGCCAAAAAGTATTTAGTCACCCACTGATTGTGTAAGTTCTCCTACTTAGAATATTGAGAGACGTCTGTAATTTTCATCATATGTACACTTCAACTATGAGACAAAATGAGGAAAAAAATCCAGATTTCACATTGCAGGATTTTTAAAGAATTTAATTGTAAATTATGGTGGAAAATAAGTATTTGGTCACCCACAAACCAGCAAGATGAAGAAGAACTTCTTCTTTAAGAAGCTCTTCTGTCCTCCAAATGTTACCTGTATTATTGGCACCTGTTTGAACCCGTTATCTGTATAAAAGACACCTGTCCACAGCCTCAAACAGTCACACTCCAAACTAGTTCTAGGTTATTGGTAGCCTGACTTCATCATACTCCTATTCAAGAAAGAATATGAGTCTGAAACTCCTCCATTGGCCTTTGATTATGAGGCGTGTCGTGACCGAACCAGGACAAAAAAAAAAAACCTCTGCACTCAATTGGATAGTCGGTAGACCTACAACCAATCAGAGCAACGCAGTAAGGCCCCGTCCACACTACTGCGTTTTTGTTTAAAAACGGAGAATTAAAACGAAAACGATCTCCGTCCACACTAGCGTTTTACCTGCGTATTAGAATTAATCTCCGTCCACACTAAAACGACGGATCACGTGACCATTCACCAACATTGGGCATGCGCCCGCCGGTGTAAACAGTGGTTGGCGAATCAGGGAAGGACATGTCATGACTGATGACACCCAATCATAGAGCCGATCGTGAGCCTCTGCGTCATCGTTTGTAAACTCCTCCGTTTTGTCTCGTCCACACTAAAACGCCCTCCGGAGATTCAAAACGCAGCTGCAGCGTTTCTAAACTTCTCCGTTTTAGGTCTTCGTTTTTCCCGTTTTAGTGTGGACGGGAGGTGCAAACGTAGCAAAAGGTCTCCGTTTTTAAACGAAAACGCAGTAGTGTGGACGGGGCCTAAGTCAACTCCTTTGCATAGAGCAGTTTTCAAATACAGAACGTAGCCTACCCCAGATAGCAAACTGACGTTGAATCAACGTGGAAATATGACATCGAAACAACGTTGATCTGACATTGTTTTGCTCATCGAATTAACGTTAAACCAACGTCAGACGCGTCATTCTTTCAAAACTAACGGAAAACCAACTTGAAATCAACACGTTGTTTCAACGTTATGAAAGCAAACCAATTTTCGATTTTCATTTAGCTTTGAAGAATGCCGCGTCTGACGTTGGTTCAACGCTAATTCGATGAGCAAAATCAACGTTGTTTCAATGTCATGAGAGACGTCGTTTCCACGTTGATTCAATGTCAGTTTGCTGTCTGGGACTTTATTTATTTTAGAAGTTAAATAACGAGTGTTACTTATTTTACTTACTTCTCCATGAGTGCCACCAAAGGAGAAACCACAACGACCACAGGCATTTCATTACGTCCCATCTTCTTAACGACCGTCAGAGCCAGCTGATAAGTTACACTTTTCCCGAATCATGTAGGAAGGACACCAAAAGTATCTTTCCGATCGACAAATGTCTTGATTGCAGTTCTCTGTTTGTCTATTAAAATGAATGCGCTGTAAATTTTTTTTTTTTTTTTTTTTTTTTACAAAAGACGTGACAGCGGAATCTATACATCTCAATTCTCCAGCTGCAGTCATCTCTGACAAGCGCACTTTGATGACGTGAGGATTACGTTACTGAAGACCATCTGTCAATCATCGTATAAAGCCCGCCCTGGCAATTTGATTGGCTCGATGATTTCTGAACCGATCATAATTACTCCTCAATGGATCGAGTCCAGACCGAACTTCGTTCGGGCTGGCATCCAGGCTAGGTTATTGGCTCAACCTCAAAAAAAAAATTAAAAAAAATTTGGAACAATACTCGTGACTCTCTAGGTCAATAATTATTTTTGAAAAAATTCTTTGACTTTTGGATAGCTATAGCTGGGGCATTTAGAAAATACTTAGGACTTATATTTATTAAAGGACTTAATAAGGATTAAAAGTCCACCAAAAAGCCTATCATTTCTAAATGAAAAACATGTGAAAAAAACAAAAACAACAAAAAACATTTGTGAAGTTTCGAAACTTCACAAAAATTGGTGAGAACAACACCTTGTTTTAAACAAGAATGCAAACTTTTATGGGAATCTAACTGTAATAAAGCTTTAAAATCATGTTTTCTTCCATAAATTGGCTGTAATGGCTGTAAATGGTCTTTTCCATCAATGTTCTTGGTGGTTACAGGCTAGTTAAAGAAAATTATACTTTTTTTACACTTGTGCTTAAACGCCTTAAAACGTTTGAACCCCAATAACTGCTGCTCGCAGCTATATTTCAAATAGTTATTTGAAATAGTACAGTTCACGGATGACAGTAACAGAATACACAGAATATTTAAGTTAGTTAATTAAAGTGCCAAGAGGTCCAGTCTCCATATTTCCTTCCCAGTGGAGGTATTTTTAAAAAAATATTTCTCTCAACTGGATATGAAAATAAAAACGTTAAATCAGATGTTTTAACAGGCTATTTAAAAAATAAATATATATATTTTACATTTAGGCAGCTTTGTGTATGGTTCATTGAAGGCCTTGGAATCACCCCACAAGGGCTGCAGTTTTGGAGATGCATTTTGTTTTCTGCTTCTAACACATCCACTTTGAGGTGATGAAGAGATAATCTGTGTTATTCATTTCACCTGTCAGTGGTCATAATGTTATGCCTGATCGGTGTACAGATGTCCAATATAATGTGTTAGGCCCCGTTTACACGTAGCCTACATGGTTATTTTCTCTTTCCCAAATGGAGACATTTCCCTTCGTTTGTGCCATTTGTTTACACGCAAACGGAGAATTCGCCTCTGAAAGCGATTCTTTCTAAAAACTCCGGCCAGAGTGGAGATTTTGGAAAACTGCGTTTGCATGTAAACTGAGAAAAATGTAGTTTTAGACATTTTTTTTTTACTGTCTATGCATTAATGTTGGTGCAATTTTCTGTTTGCATTTGCAAATACAGCTGCTCTATGTCAAGGAGCAGTTTTCAGTTTTCTGATTGGCTTGAGCTTCTTGTTACACTGCCACCTGCAGGTTTGGCATGCTCTGTCTTGATGGAATATATACACGGGTTCTTGTAAATGAACACTTTTCTGAAAACGGACAGGTGTGCACATGCACAATGTTATTTTTGAAAACAAGGAGGGTGAAATGTCTGTTTATGAAAATAGTCGGCCACCACTTGTAAACGTAGCCTTATTCTGTGTATTATACTATACATAATACATTTTAATCATATCAGTGTACCATGTCCATGATTACACCTGCAGTAATCTTCATCAGTATTAATTAGATCTTGTGCCGTTCTTTATTTGAATCACATTATTCATCGAACAATAAGTTAATTGTCACATTTTAGATTTTATTTTTTCAGGTTTTATTTGATTCCTTATCCATGAAAAGCACTTGCTGAAATGTGTTTTTGGATTTCCTGTGAATTGCTGCAATCTAAATTTAAGTTTTGAACAAGTTTTTAAGTTTTGAATTTTTTAGTTAATGACTTGAGGCTGGTTTATATTTCTGCTTATACTCCTCCCCCTTGTAAGGTACATGAATACAAAGTATTTTGCCTTTAGTCAGACTTGGTTAAGATTTTTGTACGAAGCAGACTGCAGCATTGCAACAACAATAAAGAACCCTGCTTGAAAGGATACTTCCGAGTCTCCTGGTCTTCACTTCTTATAAGTTTTCACTAACACTTTAGAAGAAAAAGTTCACAACACAGCGTAGAGGCTATGGCATAGGTTTGACGCTGAAGTATAAATCAGGCTTCAATTATCTTATTTGAATTTCTTAATATATGCAAGTTTAAAGTTTATTGAATAACTGTGTCTGTACTGCAGGTGTGTTTGGTGCTGATGAAATGAAAGTGACTGATGGAGATTCTTTGACTCTACCGACTGGTCTTACTGAAATACAGAGTAGCGATCGGATATTATGGCTGTATGGATCTGACCGAACCATCATAGCTAAAATAGATGCAGGAACTAATAATACCGATAATGACGATGAGAGATTTCAAGGCAATCTGGAGCTCGACAAACAGACTGGATCTCTCACCATCAAAAACGTCAAAATAAAAAACTCTGGATATTATCAACTAGACATCAAGAGAGGGTCCACAATCAAGGATTTCAATGTAAAGGTCTATGGTGAGTAGTTCAAGTCTTTTATTGTGAATGTGGTCTTGTTTGTATTCGTTGGATCGGCCATCAACTAAGACACTCATTTCGAGAAACTCCCAATGTCTTTCTGTTTCTGTTTGCTGATGTTTTTTTATATGAAATTTGCTGTTTCTGCTGTTGGTTGTGTGTTGGCATTTGTGTTTTTGCTTGTAATGTGACCTTAAACTCTGGAAAGGTTTTATACAGATTTTAAATAGATGGATATAGATATAGGTTATTTATAAATGAAAAAATATATATTCTACACTGTATATGTTGGACAATTTTTTCCCCCTGTTATTAATGTACAATCAAACAGTTAATTTAAATGTACGATTGAATCGCATTGCTGGGAAACCTGAGTGAAAGAAATTACTCCACTCCTGGTTTTCTATTTCCTTTAATAACATATGAATTGAAAGGAAATGAAAAACAGGCCTATTTCGGCAAACAGATGAAAATGTTGTTCGTGCCTGTGTCATTAGTACCACATACTTTCACTTTAATTCCTAGTGTTTTTCCTTGTTGTGGTTATTCATTCATGTGTGCTCACGGTCTTTACTAGTACCATCATAAACTGCTCACATTAATGTTGGGAATGATAGTGGGAGAAGTGGATTCAAGGCTGTAAAGAGACATTTAGATTTTTACATAAATGTTGATAATCTCTTCATGAAATCTTTTCTGTTTATTCTCTCTTGTTTCAGCTATTCTGCCCACACCTGACATTGACTCTCAACATTGTGCTCAAACACCAGTGGGGTCATCAAGCCCAAGATGTGTTTTTCAGTGTTCTGTGCAAACATCTGACCAGACAACTCTCTTCTGGTACAGAGGAAACAGTGTAATTTCCAGTAAAATCTCTGATATTTGCAGCAGACTCTCTTTACGTCTGGAGGTAAATTATGAGGATAAAAACATCTATAGTTGCATGGTCAAGAATCCCATCACCAACAAGACTAAACATTTGGACGTCACTCAACTCTGTCAACCATGTGCAGGTACGTCAGGGCTTATATATGTTATTTGAATTAGCTAATCTTTGTTTGTTATAGATCAGACACACTCACACTAATGTCTGTCTTTATCATTACAGTATCAGATCTACACTCAGGTTATATAGTGCTGATGTTTATAGTGTGTGTTATAGATCAGACACACTCACACTAATGTCAGTCTTTATCATTACAGTATCAGATCTACACTCAGGTTATATAGTGCTGATGTTTATAGTGTGTGTTATAGATCAGACACATTCACACTAATGTCTGTCTTTATCATTACAGTATCAGATCTTCACTCAGGTTATATAGTGCTGATGTTTATAGTGTGTGTTATAGATCAGACACTCACACTAATGTCTGTCTTTATCATTACAGTATCAGATCTACACTCAGGTTATATAGTGCTGATGTTTATAGTGTGTGTTATAGATCAGACACACTCACACTAATGTCTGTCTTTATCATTACAGTATCAGATCTACACTCAGGTTATATAGTGCTGATGTTTATAGTGTGTGTTATAGATCAGACACACTCACACTAATGTCTGTCTTTATCATTACAGTATCAGATCTACACTCAGGTTATATAGTGCTGATGTTTATAGTGTGTGTTATAGATCAGACACATTCACACTAATGTCTGTCTTTATCATTACAGTATCAGATCTACACTCAGGTTATATAGTGCTGATGTTTATAGTGTGTGTTATAGATCAGACACTCACACTAATGTCTGTCTTTATCATTACAGTATCAGATCTACACTCAGGTTATATAGTGCTGATGTTTATAGTGTGTGTTATAGATCAGACACACTCACACTAATGTCTGTCTTTATCATTACAGTATCAGATCTACACTCAGGTTATATAGTGCTGATGTTTATAGTGTGTGTTATAGATCAGACACACTCACACTAATGTCAGTCTTTATCATTACAGTATCAGATCTACACTCAGGTTATATAGTGCTGATGTTTATAGTGTGTGTTATAGATCAGACACATTCACACTAATGTCAGTCTTTATCATTACAGTATCAGATCTACACTCAGGTTATATAGTGCTGATGTTTATAGTGTGTGTTATAGATCAGACACATTCACACTAATGTCTGTCTTTATCATTACAGTATCAGATCTTCACTCAGGTTATATAGTGCTGATGTTTATAGTGTGTGTTATAGATCAGACACATTCACACTAATGTCAGTCTTTATCATTACAGTATCAGATCTACACTCAGGTTATATAGTGCTGATGTTTATAGTGTGTGTTATAGATCAGACACTCACACTAATGTCTGTCTTTATCATTACAGTATCAGATCTACACTCAGGTTATATAGTGCTGATGTTTATAGTGTGTGTTATAGATCAGACACTCACACTAATGTCAGTCTTTATCATTACAGTATCAGATCTTCACTCAGGTTATATAGTGCTGATGTTTATAGTGTGTGTTATAGATCAGACACTCACACTAATGTCTGTCTTTATCATTACAGTATCAGATCTACACTCAGGTTATATAGTGCTGATGTTTATAGTGTGTGTTATAGATCAGACACACTCACACTAATGTCTGTCTTTATCATTACAGTATCAGATCTACACTCAGGTTATATAGTGCTGATGTTTATAGTGTGTGTTATAGATCAGACACACTCACACTAATGTCTGTCTTTATCATTACAGTATCAGATCTACACTCAGGTTATATAGTGCTGATGTTTATAGTGTGTGTTATAGATCAGACACACTCACACTAATGTCTGTCTTTATCATTACAGTATCAGATCTACACTCAGGTTATATAGTGCTGATGTTTATAGTGTGTGTTATAGATCAGACACATTCACACTAATGTCTGTCTATCATTACAGTATCAGATCTACACTCAGGTTATATAGTGCTGATGTTTATAGTGTGTGTTATAGATCAGACACACTCACACTAATGTCTGTCTTTATCATTACAGTATCAGATCTACACTCAGGTTATATAGTGCTGATGTTTATAGTGTGTGTTATAGATCAGACACACTCACACTAATGTCTGTCTTTATCATTACAGTATCAGATCTACACTCAGGTTATATAGAGCTAATGTTTATAGTGTGTGTTATAGATCAGACACACTCACACTAATGTCTGTCTTTATCATTACAGTATCAGATCTACACTCAGGTTATATAGTGCTGATGTTTATAGTGTGTGTTATAGATCAGACACTCACACTAATGTCTGTCTTTATCATTACAGTATCAGATCTACACTCAGGTTATATAGTGCTGATGTTTATAGTGTGTGTTATAGATCAGACACACTCACACTAATGTCTGTCTTTATCATTACAGTATCAGATCTACACTCAGGTTATATAGTGCTGATGTTTATAGTGTGTGTTATAGATCAGACACACTCACACTAATGTCAGTCTTTATCATTACAGTATCAGATCTACACTCAGGTTATATAGTGCTGATGTTTATAGTGTGTGTTATAGATCAGACACATTCACACTAATGTCAGTCTTTATCATTACAGTATCAGATCTACACTCAGGTTATATAGTGCTGATGTTTATAGTGTGTGTTATAGATCAGACACATTCACACTAATGTCTGTCTTTATCATTACAGTATCAGATCTTCACTCAGGTTATATAGTGCTGATGTTTATAGTGTGTGTTATAGATCAGACACATTCACACTAATGTCAGTCTTTATCATTACAGTATCAGATCTACACTCAGGTTATATAGTGCTGATGTTTATAGTGTGTGTTATAGATCAGACACTCACACTAATGTCTGTCTTTATCATTACAGTATCAGATCTACACTCAGGTTATATAGTGCTGATGTTTATAGTGTGTGTTATAGATCAGACACTCACACTAATGTCAGTCTTTATCATTACAGTATCAGATCTTCACTCAGGTTATATAGTGCTGATGTTTATAGTGTGTGTTATAGATCAGACACTCACACTAATGTCTGTCTTTATCATTACAGTATCAGATCTACACTCAGGTTATATAGTGCTGATGTTTATAGTGTGTGTTATAGATCAGACACACTCACACTAATGTCTGTCTTTATCATTACAGTATCAGATCTACACTCAGGTTATATAGTGCTGATGTTTATAGTGTGTGTTATAGATCAGACACACTCACACTAATGTCTGTCTTTATCATTACAGTATCAGATCTACACTCAGGTTATATAGTGCTGATGTTTATAGTGTGTGTTATAGATCAGACACACTCACACTAATGTCTGTCTTTATCATTACAGTATCAGATCTACACTCAGGTTATATAGTGCTGATGTTTATAGTGTGTGTTATAGATCAGACACATTCACACTAATGTCTGTCTATCATTACAGTATCAGATCTACACTCAGGTTATATAGTGCTGATGTTTATAGTGTGTGTTATAGATCAGACACACTCACACTAATGTCTGTCTTTATCATTACAGTATCAGATCTACACTCAGGTTATATAGTGCTGATGTTTATAGTGTGTGTTATAGATCAGACACACTCACACTAATGTCTGTCTTTATCATTACAGTATCAGATCTACACTCAGGTTATATAGAGCTAATGTTTATAGTGTGTGTTATAGATCAGACACACTCACACTAATGTCTGTCTTTATCATTACAGTATCAGATCTACACTCAGGTTATATAGTGCTGATGTTTATAGTGTGTGTTATAGATCAGACACTCACACTAATGTCTGTCTTTATCATTACAGTATCAGATCTACACTCAGGTTATATAGAGCTAATGTTTATAGTGTGTGTTATAGATCAGACACACTCACACTAATGTCTGTCTTTATCATTACAGTATCAGATCTACACTCAGGTTATATAGTGCTGATGTTTATATTGTGTTATTATAGATCAGACACACTCACACTAATGACTCTTTCTCTAGCTGTTCCATCTTCAGGTCTGCCTCCAGGTGCTATCGTAGGGATAGTTGTTCTGGCGGTGGCTGTTGCTGTTGTTGCTGCTGTGATTTACAAGCGCAACAGAATACCTGAACGACAAAAACAAATAGGTAAGTACTACCTACAGAGAAAAATAAAGAGCTTTATTGCAGTAGTGTAGGGTTGAAAAGAGTCATATTTTTCATACTAAATGTTTGAACTTACCACAATTTAATTTACTACAATAATATTTTTTTTATTAATATACAGTATAAATCAGAGGCACAGTCATTTGTGTTCAAATAGTTATGAACCCATAGACAGTCGATGTTACCATGAAAAATTTAAAATATAATGTAAAAAAATTATTTAACTTTTGAACCCTGTCATATAATACTCTAATACTTGTTTTTTCTTCAACCCTAAATTCCAGCACTTCCAGAGTCTGTAGATATTCAGGGTTTAGACCTTAGTCAGGTTAGACACTATTGAATTAAACACGGATGAAAACCAGGCTGTTTGGGATAGACTTACAGTCTTTACATTGGTGTGCACTGCCAGTGCATCAGCTGAACAATCAGTATGTTGTTAAACAACAGTAAAATCCATCGAAAGCACTGTATTTCTATCCCTCACAACCTGCTCGTTTTTTATTCCTGTAAAAAAAATAAAAATATGGCGCTACCCTGACTAATGTCAATAATACCATCTCTTTATGCATATAGAAACATGTTTTGATGAAATATTGGAATATAATACACTGCAGTGTTTCATCATTCTGGTTATTGTGGCAATGTGTGGCATTGGTGACCATTGGTTATGAACTTTCAAAGTATAATTTGGTTATTGGTGACAGACTTGCAAAGTATGTTTAAGTGAGTTTAAATGTTCACCTTGCAGATAACACAAATGTAACAAGACCAACATTTGCTATTAACAAAACCCACTCCACAAAAAAAATCTAAATGCAAATGGCCAGACTTGTTGTATTTGACTGTACATTGTTTTTCAGAGTTATATCTCTGAAATGTATATATTTTTATTATTATATCAGGATGAATGAAACCTCTAGTATTGTCTGCAGAGCAATGCAATGGTTATGGTTATGATCATCCAAAATAATCATCCAAGGTTGCAGAATAAGCTACAGTAGGCATCTAATTAGGATTAAAAATATATAAAACTGTAAATGTAATATTTAAAAAAAATACATACAGTATATTGTTTGTGTTATTATAGTTTACATGTATTAGATAATACTGCTGGTTCTGGTTACTGATATTTTTAACCTGCCTGTTAACTGTTTCTGTATGTTCTGCAGATAAAATTGGTCCTGAGCCTGTTAAATGTCGTAAGGGAAGATGTGCTGTCCTACGGTCTGATCATGACATAAAGAGAGGTGATAAGATGCTGTTTACACATGTCTCCTGTAAAAAAGAGTCTGCTATTGCTTCAATTAGTGAAAATGACAAGAAGACCTATTGGTATGATAGAAGATTCAGAGGCAGACTTCAGCTGGATCCTCGGACTGGATCTCTGATCATCAGAAACCTCCGAAAGACAGACGCTGGAGTTTATGTTCTAGAGATCAAAACCAGAGGAGGGACCATATACAGAAAATATGAAGTAATTCTCTTTGGTGAGTAGATTTAAATGTCAATCAATGTAATACTTGTTTTGTCTGTACTTTTGTGTTGTATAATATAATAAATATTCAAGGATAACATAACTGTCATTTACAGAGAACCAGAGAATGTCCTGAAATTCTGTTTCTCTGAATTGATTTCATCTGGTTTTAGTAGTTTAGGTCAGGGTTTCATAAACATATGTTTTATATGGTTGTTTTAACAGTTCACGACAATCAGATTCATATCAAACACCTCAGATTATTAATAATAAATATTATTACTTTCTTAATTGTAAATTATTTTTTAAAAAATTAAATGATAAAAAAGGGAAACTATGGAGAATGTACTTTTGGGTATGCCTTAAAAACCAAGCAGAGGTTAGAGATGAAATGACAGAGATGAGCTCTGTGGCTGGGTAGAGATAAGGATAATAATGCAAACAGTTTTATTTTTTTCCTGTTGTGACTTAAGGAACCACCGAAGATAACTCAGGTATTTACTTGTCAAACAACTCAGGAAAGCTTTACAGTGAGCCTTGTCTTGTTTTTTGAGCACAACAATGCAATGTGAATCATTTTAAAACAGAAATAACATACTATCAGTATATAATAATTATAATACATCCACGCACAACAAATTAGGTTTTACTTTACTAGGTTTTACCCAATTAGGCCTAAAACGTCTGCTAAAAAAGGCCTTTTTTACATCACAGATATGTCATCCGGTTTTAATGGGTTAAGGTTCATTGCTTTGTTCATTGTTTTCTTTTATCACAAAGCAACTAATGGTGTGGAAAATCCTAAAAATTAAGTATGTAAATGGGTTAATGCAATGGTGCTCAATTTTTTGTAGTGCTGCCCATCTTTGAAACTGTCTTTTTTCTGACTGATGTAAGAAACAAACACATCGTGTACACGGGTATTTGGAAAAAACAAATCAGTTTTACACATGAACTGTGTGCTGTATTTCAAGCCTTTCATTTGCTTTAAAAACTGATCCCATTTTCAGCTGTTCACTCTATATCTTCTCTTCATTCCAACCTGGAATAACACCTGTGTGTGTTAGTTCACATAAGTGTCACACTTGACCCTATATAAGGAGAAGGCAGTGAAGAAGAAGCACATGCAACAATGGAATTGAAATATTTCCCCAACAGTGTTTTTTAATAATGATTTTGATCTTTAATAATGATTTTGATGATTTTCACAATTTTCATGGCCCCGAGAATAATTTGTTGAATTAATATCTGAACATACAATGTCAAAATAAAGAACAGACCCACTGCTTTAAAAGTGCATAGACTGCTAGTGTGGGTGTTTGGACAGGCCCTATTGCTCGTTTCTGCTTCTTCTTCTTCTGTGTTTTCTTACAGAGGTGTGTTATGGTGCACCCTACCACATTCTGGCATTAACCCATTTAAAGGCACTGGATTAAGATTTCTTTTTACCCTTTGATTATGTAATAGAAGAAAGCTGGTCTTGACTCTTGTTTCATGATGCCTCCCAGTTAAAATATCTCACCACTAGTTGATTTCATCTTTTGACTGACTGTTATTAAAGTTAAGTTTCAGTTCCTTCATGTCGTCTGTGTTTTTGTTCTTAACACAGGTGAAGTGAAGACGGTGTCAGTGAAGGAGAAAGATAATGTCAAGCTAGATTTTTCAGAAAAGATGGAGATTTCTATAAAGTGGGAGTTTGGCGAGGAGAAGGGTTTCATAGCTTCATTAATAAAAAAGGACAATCCAAATGACAAAGTAGAAGCTGAGTATTCTGGTGAGAGATTCAGAGACAATCTGCAGCTGGACATGAAGAATGGATATCTGACCATCAACAACATCAGAACTGAACACACTGGACTTTATACAGTAAAATCAAATCCTGGATATAACTTCAGCAAATCATTCAATGTTGTTTTTGATGGTGAGTACTGAAAGTCTTTTTAGTGTAATAATCGTCTGTCATAATGTTTCTTTTTTTCTGGCAAACAGTAGCTGCGTTTACATGGTTCAATCGGAATTAAATCAATCCGATTGATGAATCTGAACATGGTGTTTACATGAATGATAAATAAACAAATTGGGTTGATGTGCGCGTTTATATGTCACAAGATTCAAATATTTTTTAACGTGCACACTGCACGACTGCCACTGGTCGCGCATAACTATTCTCCTTGTTTTAAACAACAGACTTAATGTTTATCCGTCTCTGGTCATGATTTGGAGACGATGACTATGAACCTTTTTGTCGTGCTGCTTGTATTTATCACGCAGTAAAACCCCGCGCCCAAAAGTCGTGTGTGGATGAGAATCTAAAACAAGCCCTAGTGGGACGTTGTCCTGCTTCACTTCACAGACATGGAGTGAAATGAGATTTTTTTTAAATAACGGAACACAAATTTATGACACTTTATTCAACAGGAAGAACAGCTCGTTCCGTGCGTCATTACGCCATTGCACATGCGCAGTCTTTTTAGTTTCGGTTTTCAAACCGATCAAGTGTTTACATGTTCTCTCGATCGGATTATAATAGGAGTAAACTCCCCTTTCAATCCGATCGAAATTCCAGTCGGATCGAGCTCAATCGGATCGATTAAGGTGTTTACATTAACGTTTTTAGTCCGATTGAGCCGTCAATCCGATTAGAAGGGTCCATGTAAACGCAGATACTGTGACATAAATATGACACATGGTGAAAAGAAGAATTATATACTGTGCCATTTTCACATTGACATGGATATTTTGCTTTCTTAGGAACACTATTAAACTATGTTATTCCCTTAACTAATACGATACATACCTACTCTCGTGCGTTCACTCAATCGCGCGACACACTTTGATAGCACTCAAGCCCAATTTATACTTCTGCGTCAAACTCACGCCGTAGCTACGCCGTAGGCTGTGAGTAGCGTGCATACCCTTCGGCGTACCCTGACGTGCACCCATAGACAGTAAAGAAAAGGACAGAGCGATCTCATTGGAACTCCATTGAGACGATTGCCCGTTTTTGGCGATTTTTTTTTTTTTTTTTTTTTTTTTTTTTTTAGCACTTCCGTCCCACTTCGGGGGAGGGGGGGGGGGCTTTCCGGCCGGGTCCGTTGCGGCTGATTGTCTTTGAAGTGCAGGGATGGAAGTTCCTGAGTTTGCCGGTCACGTGTGACTAGCAGCCGAATGAAAAGTCTTTACGATTTCGAAGCGCGTTGCAGGAAGACGTTTAAAAACGAACTTTACAGCAAACTTAACTTTGAACCGAGACTTTTCACGAAAAAGAAAATACAGGAAAGAAATGGAAGTAAGGCGAGTCGGATGGCTTAAATGGTCTGTATTAACCCCGATCTGGATGGGTTATTGTGTCTGCTGGTCGAATTTGGTCTAGTCGATGTAGAAGCATGCGAACACGCTCTTTGTTTCAGAGATAAGCACGAACAGAACACTCTCTTGCTGGTTTTAGAGAGAGGCACGAACTTAACAGTTACAAACTGAACGAACGAGAAACTGAGCAAAAACAAACAAGGAACACAAAACTGAACACTTAACATAACACTTAACATGAGGTCTTGTTCCTTTGTTCGGGTCTTTAACTTAAAACTCAGTCCAACCTCCAAGAAACTTCTGGCCTATGAGACAATGGCATCATTTTAGGAGGTGGATCTACTTCTTGCTTATTATAATTTATGCATGGTCTGTGAGCTGGTCTCCAGCACTTAGCAGAGAGACAAAAGACCATAGTTTAAACCTTATGATTATTATAATCATAAAACAAAACCTTTTACACAGATTTCAATCAAGCCATCTTTTGAATTACGAGAATACGATTCGTTTAAGAGTAAACGAGGCATTCACACTTCTAATGGTTGTATAACAATTACCAGAGTTAATAAGTAACATCAATTACATGATTAATATGTGATCTAAGCATTATCAAACACATATATTGTATGGACATTAGCAAACATAGGTTTAAATGCTTGAGCAGAGGTCCATTGAAAATGGTTCTGAAGTGAGTTTGATTTTATGTGTGAGATCTCAGGTCTCAACAATGAGGTTGTGGTATGTAACTGTGGGGGTAGACCAAAGGTGTTCTGTGGAACATCTCTGTCAGGGGATCAAAGGGGTCTTCGTTGTGAGCCTCTCGTTCCACCATTTTGGAGCCGATTTGTCTTAGTAAAACCATTAACATATTGACACGTTCTTCCTGTTTAGTGCCCATCTCTTGGGCCTGTGGGGCAATAAAAGTCCAAGGCACAATTATAAATCAGCCTTTAGCTTAGCCCAGTTAGGATCCAAGCAGATATGAAGTTAGAAGCGGCAACACTTTGATAGCACTTAGCTTAGCCCAGTTAATTCATTAGGATCCAAACAGAGAAGCGACCAAACACCTCCACGTTTTCCCTATTTAAATACAGTTACATGAGTAGTTACACAACCAAGTAGGGTGACACAAAATAAAACAAAATCGGCGCAGTAATATCATCACACTATATCATTGGTAGAGGGGGAGAGGATTTTTCAGGAGTGAAGATATTACTGGGCCGAGTCAAAGTGCTGCCATATATTGTTTTGTTTTTTACTATAAGCACATTTTATCATTTTCAAATCTCAAATCGTCCTCCATTTATTGATGCTAAAGTGCTTTCTGGACTGTTTGAAATTTGAAATAGCCAGATAATCCTAGGTTTTATTTTTTACACTTCACAATATGTTCACACTCTTTTATACAGCTCATCTGTAATCCTCAAATTTTAATTACATACTTAATTTAATTACATACATACTACTTAAGTTTTGGAGTGATTTTGTCTAAATGTAAACATCTGTTATGTGAAATAGATTAATCAGAGTAGTAGTAGCAGCCTACCAGTAATATAGAAAACATGACAGTTTTATGATCACTCTTATTTTGGTAAAAAGGTGGTGTGTGTAAACTTTTGACCAAAACTGATATGAGTGCTGCATGACGTGACCCTTTTAATCTGAATATAACCATGTCATCTTTGGATTCCAATTGGCAAATAATATAAAAATAGTCTCCAAAGCAAATGGTTTAATCCTAGAGCAGAGATCTGGGGCCTCATTTATAAAGCGCGTGTACGCACAGATTTGAACTTCGAGTGTGCGTATGCTTAACCATGGAAACGTTCATGTTTATAAAAACGAGCTAAAAGCAGACGTAAACACATTTCCTTGTCGCAGAGAGTCGGACTTTTGGGGAACTACATGTATTTGGTACTGCTCGGCATTTTAAAGTAAAGCTTTTGGATGTCGACTGGTGCTCTTATATATGTTAATGACATTATTTAGCCATCGTTTACAAGCCGGAGATCTGAAACCATTCAGCTGCAAACAAGATCATTTGTGATTTATAGATTGCACATGTGAAGAGAAGTATGCGTGATTTCTGTGCTTATGTTCAAGAAATGTTCGAGAGTTGAGAAATTATAAGAGTTTTATAAAGTGACTGTTCTTTAATCTCTGTGCAGATGAAGTGATTAAGTTGAGTTTTGTTTGCTGGTTTTGTCAGTTATCACTATCTCATCTCTCTTTTCTCTTTATTTTTACAGATTTCACTGAGACCGCAGGGAATGAATCAGTGAATACAGGTTTTACGGGTCAAATCCTGAAGTGTTGTAGACTGGAAAGAATTGGTGGCAAGTTTTACTTTATGCTACAAGAACAAAAACTATTTTTAATTTTAAAATGCTAATGTTCATTGTACTGTGAAAATATACTGTAACTATAAATATTATAAATGTTCATGAGCCATATAGTAAGATTTGTGAATTCACCAGTAGATCTGTCCTGAAGGGCCATCACTGCACATCTTCCTCATCTAACACTCATCAGATCATTAGTAGACACTGCAAATGTGTCATTTATCAAGTCAAGTCTGGTGTATTTATATAGTGCTTTTTATTATGTATACTTTCAAAGCAACTTCTCCAACGGGATTCCCATTTTATCAATGCAAAGCAAATGTAAAATAAACTGACCTGATGTTCTCCTGCACAATCATTTGCTGTTATGTCTCTGTCTGCAATTCAACATTTTATTCATCATTTTCTTTATGAATTGATATGCGACTTTAGAGTTTAGACTTTAGAGTTTAGTTAAAGAACCGAGTGCAAATGATTGTAGAAAGTGAATTGAGACTTATTAGTCTCGTGAAAATGATCAGTCAAAACTTAATGAACTCTGTTGAATGTTTTATTTGTTTAATCTCTAACTGTTTCTGTTTGTATTTTTAGGGGTGTTCGGAGATGAAAAAGATGAAATGAAGACTCTGTCAGTGAAGGAGGGAGGTGATCTCAATCTAAACACTGAAACTGAAATACAGACAGATGATGAGATAATCGTGAGGTTTGGAACAGCTTTGGGGAAAAGACGCCCATATGTTACCATAGCTAGAATCAGTAAACCGGGCGGTGATGATGATTTTAAATCTGCAGAGAGATTTAAAGACAGACTGCTGCTGGATCTCACTGAACATCTCACCATCACCATCAGAGACTTCAAAATCACAGACTATGGAGATTATTATATACAGATTACCAACAAGGAAAAGAAGAGCTTCAAGTCTTTCACATTCATTGTTGTTCCCAGCGGTGAGTACCTCAAGTCTTTAAATGGGTGGTTTACTGCTTTTTTTCTTTGCATGATTGTATTTATGGGCAGCAAAATATAACATGTATTCGTGTTTTTTCTTTTTTTAAAAAGTCTTATTTTTCTTAAGTTTCTCCTTTATTGTAAGCCGCGCTCTCTTCTGTCATTTGAATGACCGGTTCACTTCCTGGGTCTATGAAACCACTCCCTCAGAAACAGGCAGTGGGCTCAGATTGGTTAGTTTGGGCCGGTGTGTTGTGATTGGCTACACTGAGTAGTGCACGTTGTCCGGATACTTAACGCCTATTATCTTTATGGGCAAAAGTGCTCCTGTCTAATGTAAATAATGGTGTCGATACTGCAGTATCAATTTGAGCCAGAATCAGACCCAAAAAGCGGCGATGAAGAGAGTCAAGCAGAACCTCACCAAACACGGCTCTTACAAAACGTTTCTGAATGTTAATATATTTTTTTTAATTATTATTCTACGATTATTATATAAGAATTTCGATACACTGTTACTTGAAAATGCTACTGCTGCTTGTTAGCTTTTGAGAGATGGTTTTCTCATGATTAAACATTTAATATAACTGAATAAATCCCTGAGTAATACCGTTTTTTAAAGTTATTGTTTTGTCGATATAATGAACAACCTAATCTATTCACAAAACTTAGTCTACTCAGTGTATCGTTTTCTTTAGGTGTAGCCTACATGTGGCAACTGTGTTAAAACCATACTGTTCACTGATAACAGCAGCTGCAGTTTGCTGTAGCGATTACATATAACTATACTATAACTTTAGCTTATACACGTGTCTTATACACACAAAATAGCATCGAACTGACTGGCTACTATAAACAAACAGCATTGGCATTACGTTCTTGATCAAATCGAAAAATTACGTCGTAAAGTATACATGGAAAATACATTTACAAAATGAGTGCGTAATTACAAATTCATCCAAAATGTTTGCATGTGTTTGACACGTGAAATAGCATTAAGTGGCTACTAAAGCCAGCGCTGGCATTTGTTTACGTCCTTGATAAAACCAAAACATTACATCTGAATATATCTATACATGCAAATAGGCCTACATTTAAAATGATTAAGTCTTAAACGTTGTGACCCAACAACTGCTGCCTCTGGTTTTAAAGTTGGAACTGCTTCATGTTTTAGTAACAGTTTCTTATTGAATCCGGCATTGAATTAGTGGAGTCTTTCGTAAAATGCGCATTACAGAGAGCTGAATTACGATTTTAATTTTCAGGAACATAATCATACATAAATTGTATCCATTGTTGACAAACTACAATGTCTGTGGGAATCCCGAACACAGAAGACATGACAGCTGGGTGAACATAACACACTTTCTCTCCACTATAACTCTTCCTCTTCGACAAAGCCGCAGAAATTATGGCCATGTCCCCTTTTTTGTATATTGGGTTGATGCAAATGTGTGGGTTAGTGACGTCTAAAACCCAGCTGTAGTCCCAATCGAGTGGTTTTTGTAGGCAATTATACTTCCTGATATTTAAAAGACGATATCTCTGCTTACACTGAACTTTCAGCGCTGCAACTTTGCAGATACTGTTCATGCACCAACAGCAACATTACACACTATTTAAAATGAAAAAAGTCAAATCGCAATCAACCCCCCTTTAACAATCTTGAGCGAGAGAGAGAGAGAGAATATTCAAATATTCAGCTCTCAGCAATGGTTGACAGCACATATAGTAAAGCAAATGAAGATGAACATACATTTACACAATTGACTTTTTTTTGAAGGTTTGTCATTTTTATTAGAGGTTAAATAAATGCATAATGTCAACACAAGAGCATGTAATGGATCTGAGTATAAGAAAATATGAAATTAGACCAGCAAAGGTTTAAATAAGGGTCAAAACTCAATCTTAGTTTAATCTGTTTAGTAACAGCAACTTTTAATCTGTGTCTGACTAAATGTTGTTTGTTTTCTAAATGTGTTAGATGAGGCTGTGAAGACCGTGTCAGTGATAAAGGAAAAACCTATCAAACTAAATCCTGACATTCCCAAATTACAAGAAAATGAACAGGTTCTGTGGACATTTGGACCATATGGCATGATCATAGCTGACACCACCAACCCCTCTAGATGTGATAAGAGATTCAGAGGCAGACTGGCGCTGGACAAGAAGACTGGATCTCTGACCATCAGAGAGAGCACAACAGAAGACACTGGAATTTATCAACACCTAATCATCGGCGGCAACAGAATCAGAAATCAGAGATTTAATGTTACTGTTAAGGGTGAGTAACTCTGTCAATGTGATGATTAAATTATTAAATAGAAAGGTTGTGCGAAGAATCTAAAATGTCAATTCAGTCGGGAGATTTTTTTCACCCTCAATCATTAAAAATGTTAACTTTTATTAAATGGGCCATAAAGTGTCGCAGTTGCACTCCATTTTGAAAGTTCAAACTTCATTTGGGTGACCCCTGTAAATATAATATTTAAAAAAACACATTTACCAAACTTTTGTGTTTTCAAGTTTGTATAGTGTAGTTTCATCCTTTATATTTCTTTTGTTTTCTTACATATTCCTTACAAAACAAAGAGGATGCAAGTAGTGAGCAAATCCCAGATGAAGATGAAGGCAGCGCCTTAAGGAAATTTCTCGATGAAATTGAACTGGAGGCAGAACATTCGCTGTGATGAGATGAGAGACGGCCAACATCACCCATGACATCACCAAGATTTCAGCTCTGCTACGGCAGCAAAACACATTTCTGATGTTACGAATCCATTAGATGAACGAAGAAACGTTTATCAAACACTTTCATATATCATTTTAATATTGTTACATTTTATACCTGTTACTCTATTAGCAGTTTGAGTCTCAGTTTTTGATATCGTCTGATCAGACGGTGAGCAACAAACATATTTTTTGTTTTCCCACTGTAGTATTTCTCTAACCATTGCGTGTGCTGTTTTATACAATAATTAACACCAATACCAGATTGTTTATTTAGCTATGTACTCTGTGTGCCTTTAAAACCGAGATCACCTGACCTTCTGCTCGAGTAGAAATAAATCACAGTGTAAATATGAGATACAGTTCAGAAACATCAGTGACCGTCCAGTGCCAGTCAATGATGTTAGTCAGTTTGCTCAACTCTATTATTCAGTGTTATGATACCACATTATGTTGTGCTTTTATTGCATTTTTTTTTTTGTTCTTTTAAATTTTGACAAAAGCGTCTGCTTCTTGTAAGATTGATATACTGCTGATCTTTATACCTGATCATATCTGTCCTCTATAGTGGACTCAGCCTTTGCTTCCTAACAGCTGTATTCACATTAAAACATAAGACCAATGTTCCTACATATGTTCATGTGAATGTTATAATAATTAACAATAATAAAAAGTCAGATTGTGTGAAATGCGTGTTGCTTCATACTCTGTAAATGTGACGTTGTACAATTGTCACAGAACAGTAATTGAATCCAGATGCACTTCAGCTTTGTGTCCACACGATGGCAGTAGAAGATAAAGCTTAGCCCGTTTCACACATACTCCGTTTGCAGTGCGTATGCGGTGAGTGTTGCGGTGCGTATCCGGTACAGGAGCCGCACGCGCTAAAGTGCTTTCACATATGCTGCGTTTGCAGTGCGTGAGCTGTACCACAAACACTCGCTATTTTTATTTCAAAATCAGAAGTTATGCAGCAATAGGGTGACCAGTGACCAACAGTCCTGTTATCCCATTTGCCACCGCAGTATTTCTATAACCTGTCAATGTGGTGTTTTATGTAAATAACACCAGTGCCCGATTAATGTGGATGTTCAGCATTGATCACTGAGATCACATGACCTTTGTTACACTTTTATTGTAAAAAAAAAAAAAACCCGAATACAACTACTTAAGTTGACATTCTTTAATATTGTTTTCATTGAAATTTTAAATGTGTGCCTTATTTTGCTTTAGTAGTTATGCTTCAATAAGGATCTGATCTGAAGTGAATCTGTTCATCTTTCAAGCAGATGTGAATGTCAGATTTTAAATGTGAAATGAATTTATCTGTGTTCATGCTGAAGCACTTAAAAATGACTCTTGTTGCACTTGTAATAATAACAAGAAGATGAAGTATTACTCTTGTGGCATTTATAGCAAAAAATATGGAAAAATGCCTTTGCTCAATCCTAGAACTTAGATAACCTATAACCACATTGTGTTGTGTTGTGTGTTTTTATTAATTTTGATAAAAGCATTTGCTTGAGGAATACATGTTCATGTTCGATATATGCATGTCTCTAATCGTATATGTCCTCTAGTGGAGAAACCCTTACTTTGCTTCCTAACAGCTGTTTTAACATGTAAATCATAAACAATGTACCGATATATTCAATATTAATAAATAATAAAAACGTCAAATTGTGTGAAATGTGTGTTGTTTCCTACGGTATGTGCACAATCAAATCTTCAGAGTACATTAAATCTGAACTTATACAGTTAAAAATAAAATACCTTAAAATATTCTCTAGTTGTGTTAATCATAACTGCAAACACCCAGAGATGAAATGTGACCGTAAGATTCGATGTTGTTCAACTAGCTGAACTTGGTGATAATAATAATGTTTTTGGTAAAATTTGGCATGTTATTAAAATAATAAAAGTTTTCTTTTTCATTACAATTCAAGTTTTGCATTTTCCTCCGCCATGAAAAGATTCAATAGATGCACTTCCTTTTTTTGAGCACCAGATGGCAGTAGAAGAGTTCATAAAAATAAAAAGTTCGAGGAAAGAACCCAAATTTATACACTTTTGTGTATTAAAAACCTCCCCCATTGCTTTTGTATTTTGTGTCTAAAACACTAATTAATAGCCATAGCAATGCTAGTTTATTTCCATATTCGCATACAGTGGCATTAAAGGGCGTTAATTTGAAAGCAGGTTGTGTATTAGATATCAGGAATTATATAGGATTAACAATAGTCTGAGATCAGAAGTTCACCCCTAAATTAAAATGATGTCATCATGTCACTAATAGGGACCTATGACCCCCTCAATGTGTCTGACGGAGTGATATCCAGATGTGTGGTCTGGTTGCTGATGGGATTCATCCTATTGATTAAATAAGATATTTCTCAGGCAGTAAATGTGGATCTTTTAGAATAATTTAAGGAGAGCTGGTCTGTTCTCGACTCTGTCTCACCCGTGTTTTTGTCTTGATCTTAATGATCTCAAACCCTCAAAAGTCTTGGTCTTGTTGTCTTGGTTTGGTCTTGACCTGGGGTCTGTACCATGATGGCAGTTGAATAAACTCAGGATTACAGGACTAGTTTCGAGTTGACAAAACCAAACCAATCCAACCTTTGTTGGTCACATTCTGATCATCAACTTTCTCCGTCAACTCGGGCTTTGATCCTGAGTTTAGGTGTTTAGGTGTGACATCAGTAGCGAACAGCCAATCACATGATGAGAAAGCAAAATATGAGAAAAATATAAAAGCTGAATGTTTTTCTTGCTCAACGACTAGTTACTGCTCCTTTAGGCCTCGACACAGACTCTTCTAGATACAGTTTGACGTTTTGATAAGCTTCATATGAGCAGTGGATAAGAAGACCTTTATCATTTAAGACACATAGGCTACATTCATCAACGTTCGCACAAACCGTTCATGTTTCTTCAGTAAGTAAAATGCAGGTTTCATTTTGACTCACAGTTACAGAACATTTAATAGGCAAACTTTCAATATGTTAAGGTTATTCTGACAGTTTTTCATTGTGAGAGTCTGATGGAGTTTGTACCCATGATTTACTCACCCTGAAGCCATCAGATGTAAATGACTTTCTTCTTTCAGACGAATACAACCGGAGTTATATTAAAAAAAAACATGTCCTGGCTCTTCCAAGCTTTATAATGGGAGTCAATGGGTATGTTTTAGGAAGTCCATCAGAGCCTATCCATCCGTGATAAAAGTGCTCCACACCAGTAAACCCTAAAAAATCAGATAAAATTGTTAAGATCGGGGACATTTGATAAGTTGAAACCAGGGCTTCTTGATGTGGGATCCGAGATGGCTAACTAAAGATTTGCCTGCATTGTGCATCTTTGTTTCACAAGGAAAATGTAAAAGTTTTGCTGAATTAAAAGAATGTTATGATTTATAAAAATAAATAAATAAAAAAAATGGATATTTACAAATACGGGAATATTTTGAAAGAGAGTTTTAAAAATGGCTAATTTGGAGCTGAATACACTGGTAGAGTTGATAGTTGATTCCTATAAAGAGAATAATCCCAGAATAATCTATTATCTCTATCGGGACATGAGAATAGAAAAAACACAGAGAATTAGGGGAAGAAATTCCAGATGAAGAATGGTATTTTGCTTGACACAACATAGAATCACAAAGATGGAAAGAGTTTGCATGGAAAAAATCTAGTGCGTTATTTCATTACCCTCAAAATTAAAAGTAAACAATTATTTACACCACAATTACGGAGGATAGGTGTGCATGCTGATGTTGATCATCTTCATGTATTCTGGAGTTGCCCAAAAATATTACCTTTCTGGAACATGTTTTTGATGGAGATCCAAAAGATATGAAATACCAATAATCAAGGTCTTCTGAAGTGAAGCGATGTTAATTCACGCTGAAAGGCAGTCTGGATACCATGGCCAGATTTTCGCCTCATTTAGGGAACCAATCACAGAATTTATTTATTTATTTATTTTTTTATTTTTTTAGGTTTTTTATTTTTTATTTTTTATTTTATTCAAAAATTGCTTTACAATAGTGCAAACATGCACCTCTTAAACATCTGGATCATTTCAACAATGTATATATTGATCAAGTAGAATCATTTTTGCATAAACAGAATAAAGAAAGAAAGAAGAGTGAAAAAAGAAACAAACAAACAAAAAATTTAAAAAAATAAAAATAAAAATAAAACAAACAGCAAACAGATAGGCTACTAATCATCTTGGTACATGAAAGATCTCATCATATTTCTTCAGAAAAGAAAAACATTTTCTATTATCAATTTTCCTAAGAGATTTGATTAAATAATTTACTTCACATAAAAACTCATTAAAAATAGGAATTTTCATAAGAAATCTTTGCTTGTGAAAGTAAAATTTTGCCACAATTATCAAGAAGTTAACAGTAGATTCTAAGGACTTGTTTGGACATTCAAAAAAACAGATGATATCCTTGATGCAAAGACTACCATTCATATTAACTTTAGAAAAACAATAAGATCCCAAGTCATTCCAAAAACTTGATGAAACGTTACAATAAAAAAACAAATGACAGATGTCTTCAATTTCAGTAACCACAATTTCAACCTTCTGTAATACGGGAACCAATCACAGAACGGGGAGGGAGCAGCAAGACGATGACGACATCTATCCCTCACACACCTGCGCAGTTTGTTTATCTATGGATTCAACATGGCAGCAGACGCGAAGCTACCGTTTGATGCAGCCTGCTTTAGATATTGTTTTAAGTAGTTTAGAATGCAAGTTTATTTTGAAAAAAAGAGCCGTTTTGGTGTTAAACTTCGCGAGAGCCCAGTCGTTATTGTTGTCTCGACATTAATCGCCCAATGGAGGACCAGGGAGGTGGTCAACCTTGGAATATCTGCCGCTCAGCTGTGTCTCGAGAAAGAAAATGCGATAAAGAATTGTCGATACCAACTTCTGTTCGGCAGTCCCGACTCCCGAGGCCTGGATGAGCGTAAAGTGGCAAGACATGTTAGCCACGGAGTTGTATTACCAACCTGCTAGGCATCGTCGTCGACGAAGTCCATTTAACTTATAAATGGTAAGTGATATTTATTAATATCATATTGTCATTATGCCTGTAGACTACCTACTGTGGTTGTCACAGTGCCACTAAGTTGTTGCTTTTCAATATCAATATAACAGCTAATGTTACCACTTTATTAGCATAACTTTCAGCTGTGCACACGTAACTTACCCGATTAAAGTTGTTGACTTTAGTCATTAAATTAAATTATTATTTTTTTAAACTTGTGAAGTACAAGCGCAAACAATTTCCAATGCAAATAACAACATCTATGTTAAACTGTACTCAGTGTTTTTCTAATTGAAACGATTGGCTATGAGCTAAGTACAGGGCAGGCGCATTTGATAGGCATTCTTAGCACCCAATAAACGGCGCCGGGCATTCGTAAACCACGCCTCAAATACGAGAAAATGAACATGTGCTTCCCAACATAGATATCTCTCGTCAACGCTGCTGGCCAATGGAGGTCGACGTCAGCACCTGGCGGCCATCTTGTCACAGGCAGCTCGCTCACTGGTAACATTGTTTTGATGGTGCATGTACTTTTTAAATCAGCGTAACTTGCTCAATTTTCTACCGATTTTCAAACAGTCTGATTTGTTATAAACGGCAGAGATGTAGTTATGATACTGCATACTTATGAATAATAAGTGTATAAATAAATAATCATCCAGAATTATAGCCACGCTAATAACGTTTGTAAGAAACCAAACCGTTTGTAAATCCGTCAAGATTTCAACAAGATGAGAGTATTTCTTACATCAGATACCACAGAGCCCGCCAGAAAGCCTGTCTGTGACAAGATGGCCGCCGGTGATGACGATAAATATTCCGCCGTGAGACATCTAGCCTTTATATAGATATCCATGGTTCCCAGACCCAAGTCTCAACGAGAATTGGGTCTGGCGTTAGCCAGGCTAGTACGCAAGTCGACTTACGGCAAAATATTACAATATTTTTCTTAGACCAATGCATCGCTTCACTTCAGAAGGCGTTTATTAACCACGCAGAGCACTTTTATTATGGATGTATCACAAGGGACTTCCAAAAAATATACACACCATTATAAAGCTTGGAAGAGCCAGGACATTTTTTTAATATATCTCGTCTGAAAGAACAAAGTCATATAGGCTACACCAAAGGATGGCTTCAGGGTGAGTAAATCATGGGCTAATTTTCAGTTTTGGGTAAACTATCCCTACTCGTTTAAATAAACCAGGATGCGTGTTCTTTACTTTTCTATATTCAGTGCTATGCAGTGACTAAATATACATTGCAAGCAGCATTCACAGTTGTTTTAATTGTGTGAGAGGATCAAACGTAGCAGAACGTCTTTCTGTCCTCTTTCAAACTCGTCTTGATAATCTGATGTCATAAACCAGCAGCCACGCCCACCAGAGCAGAGAGAGCCAATCGGATCACAGCTTCAGTGAATCCATAATAGTGGACATAGGGTTGAGAGGAAAGTAAAATTGTGCAAATTTGCATTTTTCGAACACTAAAAACTATTTTCATGTAGTCAAGATATTAGTATCATGTTTATATAAATAAAACTGATAAAAAAAAATGCAGGCCCCACTTCATTGATAGTATATGTTGAACTTTCTTGTACAAAAAGACACAGTACAAAAGGTATTGTATGAACGTCGTTTTTTATTTATTTTGTGCCACCAGCACGTGATTTATGACGACAGAAGCTTCGTTCACCTGAGAATCACGTGTGTGACGGCATGTCAAAGGGAACACAGCAGCTGGTAAGTGCTACTACTATTATTTCAGTGTTGTTATATAGCCTAAGTACTATCATAATTAATTTGTTTGTAGGATTTGGTTGTCATTACAAAAGCCCATGTGGACAGAATGAGATTAAAGCACTCAAAAGAGGAGTGACAATCATATTTAAAGGGGTACTTCACCCTATAATATCACAAATGTCATACCTGAACGGATCTGGCAGAGTCCTCTGATGTCCAGATGTTGAGATTGATTTCTAATGGGATTGTTGTAGGTGTTTTTATCCTGATATTGTGACAGTTTATAAACAAAGAATTATAAGAAAATGAAATGCAAAAAAAGGTGTGCTTCTGAGAAATAAAGTCACAATTGTGAGATATGAAGTCATAATTGTGAAATACAGTATAAAGTCACAATTTAAGATAAAGATGTCACAAGTATTAGAAGTATGGTTGCAACATTGAAATATATAGTTGCATATTAGCTCATAGAAAATGCCACTCTGAAAGTTTTTTTTTTTCTTGGAGAAATGGGATAAAGTTTTTGGGTATTTCCCATATTTAAAGCACAATTTGGCTGAACAGAGAAGTGATGAGATTTGCATTGTGAAATTCCTCATCGAAAGTATTTTTTTATTTTCTTCACATTAAAGTCTAAAAACTTTTTGAATCACTCTTTATCAGTTGAAGTTTTCATTCTGCACTGAGAATTGCAAAAAAAGAGAGAAAAGACAAACATGAAAAGCAAACAAACAATAGGTCTGATTTTAAATCACATTTAGGAATGTAGATTAGGCGATACCTCAATAACAGACCAAGTGGAAGATTTGCTACAGATGACATGTCACAGATGACAATTTTGCAAAGGTTTTGTGATCGAATGCAAAGTTTATCAGGGTATTGCAAAACTTTTGCAAAATAATGAAAAAACATTGAAATATATTTTTTCCACCTATCTCATGTCTTGAAATATTTTAAAATGAAATAAAGCACCATATATGCAAAATATATATATATATTTTTCATTTTATTCAAAGCAATTTTACAGAATTCATGCCATAATGCCTTATCCTTGGTATAATCATCTTTTGCACAGTTCCCTTAAGTTTAATTGGTGGCTCAACTTACCCACTAGCCCATATTTTACCCCATATCTTAAAATAGGAGATCTTCAGATCTCCAGTTCCCCCAATTTAGACCGAGGGAGCGAGTCTACTTTACATAATGTAGCAGAGGATTTTTGAAGTATCTGTCTTTGATGCATGTTTTTATGAAACAATGTTCATATGTTCTCTTATTATTATTAATAATAATAATAAACATTTGGCAGAGGGTGTGCTTTGTGTACATCATGCAGAAAGCTTAGACCAAGTGTTAAATGGTATTGTTTTTATTCAGTAATATTATTTTCTCAGTGTTGCCACTGTTTTGTTCCAATCTTTATTAAAACACATTAACAGGCCGTAGATACAAGCTTTGTCTAATAGCCTCGTGCTGATTTCATGTTGAATGCTCAAAGGAAGTTAAATAGAAAATAGATACTGATCTGGGATCAGGTTTTGTCTTCCTCGAGTCTGCCCTCATGAGTACAATGACAGAAACTACACTACTAAATTAATAGAGATTGGATGCCAACAGCATGTTATAAAAAGCATGTTTATTTAATATTGTAATACAAACAGGCATAAAGTAATGAGAACAATCTTGCATGTTTTTTTTGTTTTTTGTTTTTTTTGCATAACAACTTTTAAGAATTTTATGCTAGCATATCACAGCAAGTGAGAGATTAGAGATGTTAGTGAAAACCACCAGGTGGAGCTGTTGTATAGATTTTCACTGTATCAACAGAGACTTATATAATAAATATATAAATATTAAATATTATTAAATTAAATATAAAAAATATAAAATTAAATATAATAAATATTATTAATATTTAACATTAACATGTGAATGTTGTATTGATCTGCTTGTTAAAGACAAAAAAATATATAATTCTTATAATTATAAATAATTATATAATAAATTAATAATCTATGATATTTACTCGAATGATTTTTTTTTGTGTTGTGGCTCTAATAATCATTCAGTGTTTGCTGTTCTGCACACTCCTCGTCTATCAAAGACTTTCAACAACGTGGACACGCCCACCAGAGCACAATGAACCAATCAGATCACAGCTTCAGTGAAACCACAACAGCGAAAGACTTATGAGAGAAAAAAATAGCAATGTTATAAAACAGCAATAAAGAAAAAAAATCTACTCTGTTTTTCTGAATTAATGAGTTAATTTTTCATGAGAAAAAAATGTTTGCTCTGTTTTTCTGAATTAATGAGTTAATTTTTCATGAGAAAAAAATTTTTTGCTCTGTTTTTCTGAATTAAGGAGTTAATTTTTCTTGAGAAACATTTTTTGCTCTGTTTTTCTGAATTAATGAGTTAATTTTTCATGAGAATTTATTTTTGCTGTTTTTCTGAATTAACTCATTAATTCAGACAAACAGAGCAAAAAAAATTCCATTAAATTAACTCGTTAATTCAGAAAAACAGCAAAAAAAAATTTCTCATGAAAAATTAACTCCTTAATTCAGAAAAACAGAGAATTTTTTTTCTCATGAAAAATTAACTCGTTAATTCAGAAAAACAGAGTAGATTTTTTTTTTTCAAGTGAATGCAATACGCCTCCGTACAATATGATTCATATAGTACAAAATATAAAAAAATAAATGGTGGGTCAATTGATGGTCACTCTCTCATAGGCTACTCTTCACTGAGTCAAGAAACTCCCTTGTGTTATCCCGATATTAAAAATTGGGTATCTTTAGCAATATAGCTGGTATGGGGATATAACTGGTGTGTATATTATGATGTTATGAAGAACTATATGTCTTTCTCCACTAAAGTTGTTCAAAGGGTTTCTAAGGATGCTAATATTTAGAAGGAAAACAGTTTGAAATCGCTGGTGTTTCTGACGTCACAAACTGGTCACATGACACACATTTGTATATTCATGGCCGCATACACTAAATGGGCCAAGGGTGTAGAGTTACATTCAAGGAAAAAAACATTTAAATATGTAATTTTGATGCTCAAAGATGAGTTGTAACTAAGGGATACAATTAATGAGGGGGACTTTAAAGCTTGAAGAAGGTCATTTACTTCTATTTAAATGGACAAAAGGACCGTTTTTAGTTATTTCTTCTTTTGTGTTCTAAAAATAAAAAAGAATATAATGTGGCTTTAGAACAATCACAGAGTGAGTAAATCACTGAATGTTCATTTTTGTGTGAACTATCCCATAGACAGACACAGTCAGAAAAATAAGCTGTGAAGGAGTAATGTAAGTCAAAGTGAATGAAATGCAGTGTTTTATTCAGAGTATTAGTTCATTTTATGTTTTAAAAATCCTATGTTTTCATGAATGTAGCATAACTATTTGACTTGTATATAAGTAGCTGTTTTCTGAACTTTGAATTTACATTATTAGTGATATAGTATTGGAATAGTCTTTTGTTTGTTTGCACTTGCAATTACTCAACTTTAGTACTTACAGTAATGTGGTATGATATAATATATTGTGCTTTGTAGGTAAAATTTACTTCTGTATTAGTTTTTTTTTTTTTTTAATCATTTGGATAAAATCCTTTGTTAAATGAATAAATGTTAATTTAAGATAATGATATTATACCACTGGTCCGTCATGAATCATGTCTGACCTCTAGTGTGCAATACTCATACGGCGGTTCAGGATTATTTATTTATTTTTATTTTATTTTTATAGTGTCATGTGAAATGTGTTTGTTCAATGATTGATGTATCGAATCTTCAGAGATCATCTGACCACAGATACAAAAGAAATCTGGAGAATTACACAGAGAGGGTTTAAATCTGCAGGAAAAACACAGTAAAAACTAAATTATCATCTAATTAAATTAATTAATCAATATAACCAATTAATTCATCCTAAGTATGAAGACGGACATCTCATTTAAAGTTCCATCCATAAGAAACGATATTAGGAAAATCTTCTTCTTGGGAAACAGACCGAAACATTTTGACTCATTATGCTTACATGAAAACAAGTCTAGTCAGAACAGTGTAATATATGATGTTGCTTGTGAGGGGTCAAAGGTCACAGGTTTAACAGCCTGACCTACCCGCATCAGGAACCGTTTTTGCACAGATAAATAATAACTGGTGTTGGTCTGACACTGCAAGTTTTAAGATGGTCATGCCCGCTATTACGTTAATAATAAGGTGGAGAGATAATAAAAAATATGTATAATTTTTACTGTGATTTGTTTGTTTAGATGGCGTTGTTAAAAATAAATAAATAAAACTAGGGTCCTAGAAATGCAGTTCTGAAACTTTAGCCTCTGGTATTGCAGGAATATAATATTGCAAAAACTTGCTGATTCCAACACAATACTGTTTTTGTGCAATTTTTCTCTCAGTTTTTAATTTTTGTGGCCATGCGTTCAAGGGAAAAATGGAAACAAATCAAACACAAACTCACTAATTGGCCTATTAAAACAAATGCTTTTAAAGATAGCTAGATCCTGCTAGCCTCTCCGAAATTGCCTACCCTACCTTTAACCAGACCACTTTATTTTTCATATTCATTGAAAAACTTCAAGGTGACAGAATTAATGTAAGGATTTATTCTGCTATCCACTATTATGTTGTCAGTATAAAGATAAACAGTGTAGATGTTTCTCCTAATACAGACACTGTTGTGGCGCCATCTTGTGGCTGCCAGAATCTCATTAAACAAACTCACTGACCCCAGTGTAACTGTAACTAATGGAGCTGAACAAGATTGCTGGAGTGTGGAGGATCAGTTGAGGATGATGTATCATCATAGCTGGGTTAGCAGACTGGTTTTAGAGAGGTTTTGAATGAATTATTTATTTATTTATTTTACCACTAGCTGAACACCAGACTGGAAACAAACCAAGATCTGCCAGCCATTTTAGGCTGGTTTTAGAGTTTTGTCTTTTTCCTTGCTATGGTTATGTGAGACCTTTTCAGTGTATTACGTGACGTCACTAATGCGCATCACAGAACAGAGCAAGGCGAGGATTTGTGCGTATAAAACTTAAACTGTTTCATTTATTTTTTAAATGACCGATCATTTCGCTTGATAAGACCCTTATTCTTCGTCGGGTATCGTTTAAAGTCATTTGAAGCTGCACTGAAATTTTGAAGCTGCCCCCGTTTGTCCATTAAATGGGGAAAAAATCCTTGAAAGTTAATTTCTTAATTTCTTTGTGACTGAAGAAAGATGGACATCTTGGATAATACGGGGCTGAGTAAATTATCAGCAATTTATTTTATTTTTTTAAGTGAACTACTCCTTTATCAATCTTAAAACATTTTTAATTTTGTAGCTGCTGTTCTATTAGTAGATTGAAATATAATACAGGCCTATTTAAATATTAACAGTTTTATATGCTGCTATAAAATACTTTTATTGCATCAGACTACACATATGTGTGAAAGGCCTTCAAAGAAGGAAGATGCTTTGTGTTCCTATAAGTGTAGTTACAACATCTACCAGCAGGGGCGAACAGGCCGTTCAGTAACTTACTAACCAGAAGAGAAAACAGTACACACCATGAGACACTTGTTTTGTGTGTTTTATATACTATAACAATTTAATAATAATAATAATAATAAAGTTTAATTTAAGTTTTACTTAATTTAAGTTTAAGCATATTGTCACTGTGAGGAGACTATTTCATGAATCTCTGGAAACAAAAAAAGGATAGAAATCACCTTCACTGTGATAAACATTAAAACATTTAATCAAGAGTTTAGTGAGGATTTGTAATAAATCTGTTGATATTTCCTGATCAAACACACTGAAGATCACTGAATAATAATTTTCGATGTTCAGTCACTAGTTGTTCAAGCAGGGTCTTTAGGAGAGACACACGGTCTACATCTTTAAACTGAGTTAAAAGTAGGCCTACTGATTCTGAAGTTTAGAAATGATTCTGTTTCATGTATATTGGTCATAAACTGCTGATTAATATGAAATGTCCCGTGATGATCAGCTCTCTGTGTGATCAATATTTTGACCTTTAGTCCAAACCATTCACAGTGACTTCCAGGATCATGATAAACACAGCTGTTCTATATTAACAATTGTATATCAACATAATATGACTATGATATATTAATTTAAGCAGATCTGAATGTAAATGTAGTATTAATAATACATTTTCCACTGCACTGGTCAGTTTCTGATCTTGTTTTCACACTTCATCTCTCTCACACACGTTCACATGCACATAAAAACAAAAATATCTGCCGTATTTTAACACCTTTAGCTCCTGACAGCTTTAGTTTCATATGACACTGTTTATTAATGTTTGTTTGAGCAGAGGTGCATTAAACCACAGTGTTTACTGTTAAACTGTATCCACACCTACAGTTCTTATCTCTCATTTACCATCAGCTGGTCACATGCTTTAATATTTGCACAGAAATGCTGAATGCTTAAATCTTCTGTGTTACTGTACAGCTGTGGTGAGTCCGTTGGCCGATGCAGCTGATGCCTGTGGTTTAGTTGAGTGTGGTTTGTGTGGACAGATCTCAACCCAAAGACACGACTGAATCTGACTCTAAGAGCTGGTGAAGATCAGGACAAACAGCTGTGGATCAGGGGGTTCAACAGACGTGTGCCTAAATGTGCTAAAATAGTCACGATGAGAGATAAAGATCACGCTACGAGCCGAGTGGAAAATAAACCGAAGGTCTGACTAATGTTCACACATTTATATTTTGCCACCATGAGATTGTGGTCAGATTTCTTCTTCTCAGCTTCACGCTTGTTTTTTCCACTTCAGTGGTCAACATTTTCGTAGAACTGTTTAACAGTGTGTTTTCAACAGAAACACCCACAGCCATGATGAGATCAATGTTTATCACCTTTTAAAAAAGAAGTTTAAATATGAATTCACTGAATATTACACTAATTCATCATTTTTATTTAATAGTTTTTTAATTGCCTTGCAGTTTTACGTTTCTTAAATGAATAAATGCAGAATCCAGAAGAAATATGAAGTGATCATGTTTTATATCATGCATGTTATTGTCAGTAGGATATTGTAATCTGCTATTCTCAATTGTTATATTAGTCTATTATTGTATTCTATTGTTATATTAGTCTTGTTTGGTGCTAATGTGAAAAGACACGTGATCTGAATCAGTTTTGACATTTATATTTCAACACTAACAGAATAAAGATTTAGAATCATGAGTTGCATTTGTTGTGATGTCTGTCAAGGTCAAGAAGGAGGCCGGAGAATTTAAAGGATATATTAAAGAATGTTTATTTAATATCATTCAAAAGGAGGCATATACAGTTATAAAAAATATGAAATATAGATATATCTTGCATATAACGTTTTAAAGGTATTTGTCACCCTAAAATGTGACAGTGAGAGAGAGCTGTTGGTGAAATAACATGTTCATCCAGCAGGAGGGGCTTCAGCAGGGTCAAAGTATCAGCAGAGACGCACAGGACTGACACCAATATTGAAAACAATACAAACATAGATCAAACTAAAACACTGCTCAAAAGCTATAAAATAAAATACATTAATATCACTTAATATTGAATATAATGAACTAATGTTATAATGTTTGACCATTTGACCTTGATTTAATACGAATCCCCTACTGGTAGGCCCCTATAGAGTGCCGAAGCAAGTTAATCCAAACTTTATACATTTTGAAGCTTATATAAAGATTTTAAAAAACACAATCAGACACAATAAAGTTTAAAAAAAACACAAGCAGGTTTTAACTGTGTGTTCTATGACATAGATCAATATTTGGAGGCTTTGTTCACCACAGACCTTATTTCAGGCGATTTAGCATAATCCCATTCAAAAATCCCATAGGCTTTAGAGCGAGGGAACCGTAATGCTAAAATGCTAACTCACTTCGGCGTTTTGGCCTACAGAGTGACGTCGTAACTTCGGCACTCTATTGTGCATTTCCCAATGTTCATGTGGAGTCTATACAACATGTTTACATGCATCAAGGGTAAAAAAAAAAACTGTTTAATTTCCTCATAATAATAATAATATACATTTGCACATCACATACATTTGCACATCACCACATTTTCAGTGATTCTCAAACTCGTCAGATTAATTAATACCTCTAAATCTCTCGTTTCCAAAAGCTACTCTGCTCTGATTGGCCAGACGGCTCAGTCTGTTGTGATTGGTTTACCACGTAGCTACAGCGCGCATGACAAACAAAAACGCCCATTGTCAAACCAACGTTAGTTCTGCTTGTCCTGAGGCTTCCCTCACCTACTGTAAACACATGAACAATGACAGATTTTAACCAAATTTACAAAAGTGAGTACGACGATAAAACACCGGAAGAACTAGTTATTCAACCCGAACCTCCATCGCAAGGACGACTCAAGCAGGACGTTTCTCAGAGATGCACTAATCAGTCTGAGGAACTTTATTAGCTGATGTGCATGTCCATCAATAAACTGATCATTTTACTTTAACTAATTTATTTTACCGGATATTTTTCTAATATATAGCGGTGAACATGTGGAAACTATCAATAACAGTGCATATGCACAATATCATAGTTCCCTTTCAAGGCTACAGAACTTCGACATTACGAATGTCGTTTATGGGAACTCCTCTCCTTTTCCACTTCTGCTGAAATCTTATAGGCTAACGCCAGCAGAGCTGGCCAATTGACGCAAATATGCAAATACTGAACACAGATGAGCGTCAATATCCATCAGAAGCTCTTTCTTCACGCTAAAATCGTGTGCTAGACATAAACTGTAAAAAATATGGACAAAGCGTCTGTGACGTCACCCATAGACTCTCTGAAGAACGGGTTTGAGGCTGTTTATGGGGGGTATGGGTGGCGCCATACTGGAAAATCTTGGAAAATACAAAAGTTTCAGAAAGGTTACAGAGGTGGTGTGATGTGTTGTGCCAGATCATGGCGAGACGTCAAATTTACTCGGCGCATCGCGTTATCAGCTGTCAATCAAAGTTAACCGCAAAGTTAATATCTAAATATGATCTAAACTAACGAGTTAGAAAAAAATTCACCCCCCACACAGTTGTCAGGCACGCGGAACATATTGAAGATTACAATAAAAGTCCATGGGACCAAACTGTAAACATATGAATTTATGTTGTGAAAACTGAGATTTTAATATGACGTCTATGGATATTTGCTCCCTTTTGGGACCGGCCTCTAGCGGATTTGAGATGTATTGCAGTTTTTCGCACTTCGGGGTAGACTTCATCTTTCAGATTCTACAATGTTGCCGCTTGGGTGCTAGAAACCTACTTCATAAATCTAATATGTATTTTTCGCCATCGTCGAAGGTGTGCCGAAGATGCGTGATACTCTTCTGCATACGATGGCGAACATTGTCAACTTGTGCTCGGGCCCCATCGTGCCCCCGGACACGCACCTGTTCTGTATCGCGTGCATGCTGGCCCACGCCGAGATCAGCCCTTGAGAGGAGCGCCCCCAACAAATCTTGCGAAAATCACGACATGCTTTACGGCAACGACGTCACCCACATCCACAACAACATGAAGCACGAAGACACTTGCATGCATTTCAGACGTGCAAGAGACTAGGAAGACTAGACTAGGCTTTTCCATAGATGGGTCTTTTCACTCGTTGGCGCGAGATAAAAAGCAGCACTGGATGCAACAGTGATGCTGACATGGCGATCTTGTTGATGGACTAGTAAGTACATATTTCTAAGTTTGTGTGCATTTTATTTTGTGATTTCACTGAATAGAGAGAGTCCGCAACGGTGATAAATGGGCTTTATGCACAGCTGCACTACTTCCTGAACTTCAGCCAGCTCCTTGTTTCCTGTGTGCCATTATTGGACAAATTAATTAATTCAGGTGTGCCTGACCTCAGTAGTCATGGCAACAATAATCAGACACACCTGAATTAATCAAGTTTGGCCAATAATGGCAGACAGGAAACAAGGAGCTGGCTGAAGTTCAGGAAGTAGTGCAGCTGGGCATTTGTGATGAGTCGTTCATGAACGATCCATTCATTGCGTCTGTCATGTGACAAATGAAATGACTCGGAAGGTAAATTAATTATTTATGATCCCTGTAAATAAGTTTTGACTGAATTATAAGGATTTCTTAATTCAGAATATGATCAAGATTAAGTAGGTGGATGTGTTCGGGGAATTTGCCTGTTAAAAGTATGACATTTAAAGCCAAACGAAATGACTCGAAAAAAGATTCGTTCATTTTGATGAACAAGATCGAACAAGAGAGTCGGTAAAATGATCCGAACTTCCCATCACTACTGGGCATAAAGGCAATTAAAGAGCGCGTCCGAGTAGAGACTGTGCGTGCGCCGCCACATACACTCTTAGAGAAAAGGGTTCTATATATAGCATAGGGTTCTTTACTCAACTCCAAATTACATTTTATGCTAAAAAAAGGTTCTATAATGACAAGAAAGAACGCGTTTGGCACAAAGGTTCTTTATAGGCTGTTATTCATTCATATATTACATTATTCTGCAATATTTTGTAGTTGTAATTAAATTATTGTTTATTAAACTTAATATCACATTTTAATCATGCTGACTTTTGGAGGAGAAAATCTGAAATGGCTCTCTTCATGGTATATTGATTAACTACATAAAATGATATAAATATATACATTTTCTAACCCCCATATCTTGAATTTTGATATAGAAAATTTTAGGGGTTCCAAATACCTAGCGCTTTAGAACCTTTAAAGGTTCTATATAGAACCTTTTCTTCTAAGAGTGTAGGGGGACCAGACGTGCCGAAATCTAAGCTGTTGTCCCGAATCTGGCCCCAATTGTCCCTAAAATTATATTAAAACAAAACCTTGAATAGTTATTGTCTGATAAAATATTAAAAACTGTCCTTGGAGGTTGAGTCGGCCCCCGCCAGCAGCTCATTGACTGCAGCATCTTTTCTGTTTCTTTTTTTGAAGTTCTACAAAGATGTAGGCGTGAATTTAAATATACATTGATACGCAAATTTTCATTTATTCGTTTCGTTGACATGGCTGGTGTCCTGGAACCACAACACACCGTTTTTTAGTGGCAGACTAAAGATTAATGAGAGACTGTTGAAAAAATAAATAAAATGTTTGGTTCAGGTTTGAAATCATTATCGTTTATTATAGGCTATGTAGTCTAATATCATAGGCCTACCCATAAACACCCCCTAAATCTCTTATTTAAAGGCACACTATGCAAGATTTGTACTTTACTGTAACAGCTTCAAAAGGGTGTCAGGCCGTGAGTGCAGAGTGGTATTTGCGGTATTTGGTATCTGCACGAGTGGTATTTGCGAAAGTAACGTTAAATTCAATTTGACAAAAATGGAATTCCTGCATAGTGTGCCTTTAATAAAAAAAAGTGCAATTTAAATGCAAGAAAAAATGCAACATTATTTTTGTTAACTGCATTCATAAAATCTATAAATCTGTAATTATTTGGTTCTCTCTTATTTTATTAATACATTAATTTACACCAAATTAAGATCTTAACCTTATTCAAGGGGAATCTTTGCCCGGATGGGCTCGTTTTGTTCAAGATAGAATTTTAGTCCCAGTCCAGCCCTGTCTACGCTCTTAAAAATAAAGGTTCTTTGGCATCAATGGTCCCACAAAGAACATTAAACATTCATGGAATCTTTCCATTTCACAAAAGGTTCTTTATAATGAAAAATGTTTTCACAATGTTCTTCTAAAAATGTTCTTCTCTCAGGTTTCCTTAAATCTGGCCCCAGAGGTCCACTGCCCTGCAGAGTTTAGATCAAACCCAAATCAAACACACCTAAGCAAGCAAATCAAGGTTTTCAGAGTTACTAAAAAAATCCAGGTATATGAGTTTGATCCGGGTTGGAACTAAACTCTGAAGGACATTGGCCCTCCAGGACCAGATTTGAGGAGCCCTGTTCAGCATGACTGCGAAACCCCCCTTTTGAAACTTTTAATTTTGTATAACTATACCATGAGTGCAAATACCATATATATGTATTCACAGAGAACATGTAAATCTTCTCCTACTCTGTAATTCAAGGGTTGATCAACGTCTCATGACTCCTGCGTACACCACATCATCACTCTCTACAGCACTCTGTCTCTGAAAGAAAACACATACATGTTCACTCACATATTTATCAAGAACTCGCTTTACACTTTTTCTATTTCTAAAATCCTTCTGCCAGTAAAATGGTATTTTCACATTTTGGGGAGATAAAAGCATATCTGTGACATATAAGAGTTTGTGACAATAATGTAATGGGGAGAGCGAGGCACAACCTAACGCGGGGTTAAATGTAACACAGACCTTTTACATATTTAGTCAGGATTGTGTTTCCACTCTTTTTCTCTTGCTGCCAAGACTCCCGCTGATTTGTGGAAAGTTTTGCTTAGATTTCATGAAGATACTGGACAAAGAGTGTTTTGACACCATGCAAGTATACATTTTTTCATCATAGGTTTTTTTTTTTAAGGTTTCTGAGTTGTGTGTGTACGTCACCATTTCCACCATTTTGAAACATGTCAGTAACTCCTTGCAAATGTTTAAAATATGCTTTACACAGCAGGGTTAGTTGTAACAGTGTTCATTGTGATTTTAAGCTCGTTTTTATTATTATTACTTTCTAAAATTAATTATAAAATTTTTGCATGCAGTGGCCACTCACAAATATAATTTAATCGCAATTACAATATTTGATATTTGCACATCTGTGCAGCCCTTTCCTATTTCTATCCATGATATTGATCCATAACAGAAGGATGATTGGATGAGAGATGGATATATGGGGATCTATCTATACAAAAAATATCAAACTATACAGATAAAATAGGACTGAATTCTGTTAGTTACAAATAACCTCTTTGTCTTTTGACTGTTAACCCCGCATATGGGGTAAGTTGTACATTTGCACTTCTGTCACTTTCAGTACAACATATGGTAGGTCCTAGAAAAAAGAAAAAAAAACTAACTAAATTATTTACTAATCTAACTAAATATTTTTTTAAATAATTGAGCCAAAACCAAAATGTGTTGGGTTTGTGCCCCGCTCTCCCCTGTCACTGAACATTTAACAATAACAAAAGTAAAATTATTGTTTAAGTTATTTATCTCCTCTCTGTTTTTGTGTTTATTTCATATTAAATCTGATATTATTTTAAACGTATATGTTTTATAACAGTTGATAGTTATTTTAATCCTGATCTAATCAGCAGAATACATTAACCTGTGTAACAGTTAAAACTTGCTAATCAAGCTCTTAGCATACTAGAAACTTCCAGACTGTGTTGAGGCAAGCGGGCTAAACTCTGCAGGACAGTGGCGCTGCAGGACCGACTTTGGACACCCCTGTCATGATGATTAGATCAGATAACATTTTAAGATGTCATATGGTCATGGTTACAATATACCCCTTACATTCAATTCCATTCTTTAGGGCATAAATAATGATAGAAGTACAAGACAACATTTGTACCAGTCTACCAGACGTGTGAAATTAATTTGGAAAAAATAATAATACTCTGAACCCTAGATTTACACAAATGGAGAAAGTCAAAAAAGCGTTAGGTTGTGCCCCATCTCCTAAATCTAAATCTAAATCTGTGACTCTACAAAATACACAAATCAGAGCAGAAGACAAAGGGACACTAAAATACATCTACTGCTTTTATAAATATCTGTCTAGACTCGCTGCTACAATAATTCAGACACACCATACATAGAAATAAATTCTCTTACCGTTTTATGTCTTTTGTAGAATGTCGGATCAGCGTAAGTGATCTCTCTATCACGGGTCTGAACTGTATCAGAATCACAGAAACAAAACACTCAATGAAATTATGTTTGAGCACTGCTTTACATTATTTTGATATGATATATCATATATATATATATATATAATACTTGCCTTCTCTGTCTGTTTTTCTGTGTTTCTTGCAGATGCAGAAGATCCCGACAGCAGCAGCGACTATCATGAGAGATCCAGCAACAGCAGAAGAGATCAGCACCACCAGTGACTCTGAGACTGAACCTGAAGGAGAGAGTCATTAGTGTGAGTATATGTATCATAAACACAAATGCAGATATCATAGCAGATGTATCATGTACCTGAACATGGCCCACAGAGTTCAGTGTTGAGATGTGTGGTCTGGGTGCTGATGGTATTGTTGATCACACAGCTGTACGCATCATCCAGACACTCAATCTCCAGAGAGAGAGAGAGATTGACTCTGAGATCAGACAAACTGATGCTGGACAATACACTCATTCCTGCGTACCAGGAGAGAGTCGCATCACTCTCATTCAACACTGAACACACCAACGAACAATTTGATGAAGATGATGATTGTTTTGAAGAATGGCTGATGACAGGAACAGGCAGGCGAGCTTGAAAACAGAATAAATCTAGTTCAGTATAGACTATAGAGTGCTGTGATATTTGTCAGTTCATTACATTTCAAATTGAATGAATGTGAGAAACAAATGGTATCAAATGTATATTATTAAAAGTCAAATGTATATTATTAAAAGATGTAATTATAGGAATGCATAAATGCACAAATCATTTTTTATCATCACAGAATTGTCTTTATATAATTTTATAATATTCTCAGTAATCGTGAATATTATTAATTTTTAAAAGACCAACCTGCACGCGCACACACAAACGTACACTGCTGCTCAAAAGTTTGGGATCAGTCAGATTTGACTTTTTTAATTCTTTTTGGGGGGAATTTTTAAGAAGCTTTTAAATGTCTCTTATGCTCACCAAGGCTTCATTTATTTGATAAAAGTACAAAAAACAGTAATATTATTACATTATTACAATTTAAAATAACTGTTTTCTATTTTTGTAACATTTTACACAACCATTCTGCCAACATCGAAATTGCTGATGAGATATAGAGGAAGATATCTAGTGGAAAGAGACAATATTACAAAAATACTTGTGAAGGTTTGGTAGACATCGCCCAATTGTAGCCTTGATCACAGGAATAAATAACATTTAAAAATTCAAATGAAAAATGGTGGTTTTAAATTGTAATAATATTGACTATTTTTTATCTAATGAGAGACTTATTTTCAAAAACATAAAAAAGCTTATACCGATCCCAAATATTTGAATAGCAGTGTATACTGTATATATATATATATATATATATATATATATATTATATATATATATATATATATATATATATATATAAAATAAACATGGTAGTAGTTCTCTACTCACCATAGACGGTAAGATTGAATATGTTGAGCGGTGTCTTTGATCTGCTGCCGGTGACTTTATAAAGTCCAGAGTCTGTGGTTCTGGTGTTTGTGATGGTCAGAGATCCAGTCTTCTCATCCAGTGTCAGTCTGTCTCTTAATCTCTCGAAGTTATTTCCTTTGATTTTAGCTATGAGATTGTTGTGTCCAGTTCTCCAGGCTATCAGTTCATCTGTCTGTATTTCAGTATCAGTGTTTAGAGTGACAGATTCTCCCTCAGTCACTGACACTGACTTCACTTCATCAACACCAGACACTCCTGAAACAACACACAGAAATATTCACTCAATAAAAGTTTTTTTTACTAATTTCAATGTATACTCATTGAAAAGGGACCGCAGCATGAACACAAAAGTATTTTAGTAAATTAGTTTGATACAACTGGAAAATATAGGAGGCAAATTGAATGATCAAAATAATACATAACGTAAATATGTTTGTCAACAAATGAAAATATAAATAGAAGTGAAGACATAAAAATACTTACCAGACAGACTCCAGCACAAAAAGATGAAAATAAACATTTTCTTCAACAGTTCACAACACAGCGAATGAATTTGCTGGACTGTATGAAGTGGTTTAATGGAACTCTGCAGTCAGTGTGAAGAAACTCCTCCCTTCAGAAAGTGTACATGACTTCTCATAATCGCACTGTATGATCTACAATAAGAAGAATGAGAAAAACAGAGAACTCATTAAAAAAACACAATTATATTATTATATATTATATTATAAATACCATAATTAATTTTGCTTTTGAAATTTAATCTATAGTGATTTTATTTTGTTGGAAACGTGCAAGGAGACATTTAAGCTTCCTATTTGATGAAACTGATTTTCAGAAATAGAGTTTGTGTGGAATAGCATTTGCTGTGTTTCTGCTGTTGCTTTGTTTTGAGCTATTTTCATTGAAGGAGCAAAAACAGACAATATGTGTCTACAAAGTTTGATTTAGGCTACTTTTAACTTATCAATGTCTTATAAAATCAAAATCATGTCACATTTACAATCATGCTGAAAATCAGACAAAAATAGTGCTTCATATTGTTTAACATCATGTCATCATGTTATCAACTCATTATTGGGGAACAAATTAATTAAATTAAACAAATTAAAGAAACAAATTAATGAATGAAATAAAAATTATTTAAAAGTCGTCAAGACATAAATCAGTATTAACTGTTCTTAAACTTGAATTCTTTCTGGAAAAGGTCCGTCAGTGGGCGGTGCTACTGGAGGAGTTTATCCTCACTGACTGCAGTTTCACTAAACCACTTTACAACAGACCGGCAACACGTTTGACTTTTTCAAGAGTGCGAGAACTGATTATTATAAAATTTCTGTTGTGTGAAACCACTTAGAGAACTGAAGAAAATGTTTGATTTGTTTATTTTCTTCTGTTTGTTCTCCTGCAGTCTGGCTGGTAAGTATTTTTATGCCTTTAGTTCTCTTTATTGTTAGTTTGCCCGCACAATATTCTGTTCTTAAATGTGTCCATCATTCATTTAACATAATTAATATATAATATGTTTTAAATTTATTAGAACAAACCTACTCAACTTCAAAATGAAAAACAAAAATCTGTTAAATCTCCAAATTCTGAGTGAATATTTCTGTGTGTTGTTTCAGGAGTGTCTGGTGTTGATGAAGTGAAGTCAGTGTCAGTGACTGAGGGAGAATCTGTCACTCTAAACACTGATACTGAAATACAGACAGATGAACTGATAGCCTGGAGAACTGGACACAACAATCTCATAGCTAAAATCAAAGGAAATAACTTCGAGAGATTCAGAGACAGACTGACACTGGATGAGAAGACTGGATCTCTGACCATCACAAACACCAGAACCACAGACTCTGGACTTTATAAAGTCACCGGCAGCAGATCAAAGACACCGCTCAACATATTCAATCTTACCGTCTATGGTGAGCTGAGAATTACTACCCTGTTTATACATACTGTATACTTTGTGTGTGTGTGTGTGTGTGTGTATGTTATGAATGTTGTATTAATATTAATATATTTCATTTTAATTTATACAGAGAAGACTGCGCTGTTTTTCATTTAATAACTTTATTCAGTTTATGTATATTTCCAACCTGAATATTACTATTACATCCTGGCGCTGCATCATATCATTACGCCTGCTGCACTCATGGTACGGCAGTAAAGTTTCTTCATTATTACGCAGGAATGAGAGTATAGTTCCTAGCCATATCAGCCTAGAAAATCACAACTTTACATTTTCCGTCAGTCTTAGTGCACGATGTAAACAATTAAATACAATAGTTGCTGAGTCTGTGATCTGAACACTTTACCTCAGAGCATCCATAACTGAATGAATTGGGAATAGGCCTAGCCTATTAGCCTATAACTAAATGTACATTGTAGCGCAGGGTTAAGTGATTTACGATGATTTGAGACAAATATAATGTAAATTTAATATAAAACTATGTAGGCTAAATGGCGCTCTGTGTCGCGGCAGGATTTTGAACAAGAGCCGTTGCTGGGCACCGAATAGCACAACCGCTGTGTGTACACCATAGACTGTAGGGTGTATAGCCTACACTCGAACAGAAAATGTGTCTGAATTTTAAAGACGTGGCGCTGCGCTTCTCGTCCGGTGTGCGCGACCCCCTTTAAAGTGGTGTTTTCTTTTTGAGCCGAAGAACTCCAATACAGGCGAGGTGACTGAGGCGAGATTACTTTTTTTGTGGACAGAATGTTTCACTCTCTCTCGCTCTGACGACGTTCTTCTCAGAGTAGCTGCGTGGCCCGGGCTGCGTCTTCTTTGATAGGTGTCAGCCGCAGCGGAGAGAGAGATCAAACTCGCGCTGGAGTATTTACTTGTCTTGTTATCATAACTGTCCTGTTAATTTTAAACATCGTGGTTATCGCCAACACCGGTATATTGCCACACTCTAAATTAACACGGTGTCGATATTTCATGCTTTAAATATCACGATTATCGTCAACACCGGTATATTGCGACACCCTACGGAAGCCCTAAGAGGCCATGGATTATCATTTTATTTTATTTACATTTTTCTCGCGATCACAACTTATTTTTCTTGTGATCTCAAGATAACAAAAGTTGTTTTCAGGATGTTTAACTGTTTCATGAGGAAATCTCATGCCTTCTGAATGTTCTTGGTGTAGGGCTAGCTATATCATGTTATGGTCTTTGAAATTTCATAAATTTACCAATTGCTCGTAGCAGAGATGGACGAAGCTATCGAGTCAGCCAGATAAGAGCATTCACAGCGCACATAGAGGCGGCGGTGTAGCAGAGCAAAGGCGACATTGCCGTGATCCTTTCGCCGCCCATCAATATAAGCCTATTGTTTGAGAAGGGCATCCTCAAGATAGCGTCGGTGTAGGTTACGTTTTTTCAGCTTTTTCCTGAATTTTGTTCAAAACTTGATTTTTCTTTTCTTTTTGAAGACTCTTTGTTCTCAGTGCACTGATAAGTTTGTTTACGTTCCCCATGCATCAAAGATACTGTGTTTTCTTCAATGACCATTCACGGATAGGCTACACAGCACGTGGATAAAGTGGATGCTAGATGCCTACAAGAGGCGATGGAATCTGAGGATTTAAGGTGCTGGAGGGAGATAGGGAGAATGTCAAGATGGTAATAATGGACATTTTTCTTCAGGTGTCACCAGGCTTAGCAGATTTGCTGCAGTCTTCGATTGATTTTGCACACAGGCTTGGCCATATGAACGCCCTCGCACAATAATTGTACATTTTCTCTCTCTGTTTGACCGCGATCGTATCTGGACTGATGCTAGAAGATCAGAAGTGCTTAAACAGAATAAGATTAGGGTCGCCGTGTTGGCTTCAGGGGTCCAATTGCTGTCGTGAATGGAAGAAGGATTTCTGTGGACGTGGAAATAATTGTACTGTCATTGGCAAAAAGCTGACAAATAGGCAAGAGCATACAGGTAAGCTAAAGGAGGGGAGACAACAGATATAGCCTAAATCGATTATAAAGGAAGAGGAAAGAAAAGTGGGAAAACTAAAACAAATCTTCTCTAATTATTGACAGCAATTTGGTCACAGATGAAGCTAGTAGGGGTGTAACGATTCACTCGTTTTCTCGATGCATCGATTATAAATCCTGACGATGCATGCATCGATCCTGAAACATGTATTTTGAATCGTGAATCGTTTATTTACGTGAATAATCGATTTAAAAGGCTAAGAATCGAATTAATCACGATTTTATAGCGATTCAGTGGTTTAAAATATATAAACACAACCTTAAAGTGTTCCTGGTACAAGCTGCCTCACGCATTGGCCGTCATACGACATCCGCATTTGATTGGTTTCAGGCGCTCACACACCCCTGATTTCTCACGCTGAAGCCCGGTCGGTCAAATGCCTGAAAGATGAGTTTATCTTTCTACCTGTTGAGCTACTCATGTCGTGATCAGCTTGTATTGCCGCAAATTAGTTAAAATCTCCCCGAATCTAGAGCGAGCGTGCATACGAGACAGAGGTTGTGCTCCAAACCGCGTATCGCGCGTTCACGCACGGCTGCACGCACTCGGCAGAGAGGGAAAGCGAGCGAGAGACCACCTTGCGTGTACGGAGAGTCCATGTAATAAATGAATGAAAGCGTTTTATTTCATAGTGCCCACGCAATGGCATGGCAGCTTTATCAATGGCTTGAGCGGTTTGCCTCAAAACTATTGCTTTCTCGACAGAGAGCTCAGCTGGAGAGCTCAAACATGGACTGCTCAAAAATCTGTAGTTAACGTTATGAAAGCATGAGAGGGACCGAGCGCGAGCAAAATCCAGTGAAAAGATGATAACGAGTGCACTGAGAGGACGCAAAATGAAACTAATGAAAAGGTCTCCATTAATTTGTGCATGTAGTCATTTAATGCAATACTTTAAAAGCCTTTTTCAAAATATTTGCTACTTGCAAATGCTAATTTGTAGGCCATTGAATTTTTTTTAATAATAATATATTCATTAAAATTAAAAACAAACATGAACTAACATTAACAATGGACAATCCCCACTATCTTATCCCTGAAGGCCGCTGTAGGCTAATTCAAACCCAGACAAAGATGGGTGAAGCATTGAAATAATACTATAAATAATACTATAATGCATATAAAAAAGTAAGAATCGAATCGAATTAATCGAATCGCATCGAATTTGGATGTGAATCGAATCGTTCTGAATTTGCACAAATCGTTCATGAATCGAAACGAAAACCTATGAATCGTGAATCGAATCGATTCGCTGTCTACCCAAAGATTCACAGCCCTAGAAGCTAGAGTTTCACATTTTGTTTCTATTTTTTATTCATGGCTCTATTCTTCGTCATTTGAACCTCATTTTGCTGATAGCTTTTGTGAGAGGGTTCAAGCATTTACACCTATTAAGTGCTGGAAATCGATCGTCTTGTGAGATGGATTTGACTTTGGAAGAGTTGGATGTGATTATGCAGAAAGTCCAGATGGACTGCCTTTTGATTTCTATAGGACTTTTTGGCAAGACATAAAAAAGCTTGTTTTGGAAATTTTTAAAGGCTGTGTGAAAGGTGAGTTGAGGGCTTGATGATTTTAATCCCAAAACCTAACAAAGTTTCTTCATATTTAGATAATTGGCACCCAATTACTTTTCTTAATGCAGATTATATATTGTTAGCTTCCCTTTACACAAATAGATTAAAAAAACATGCTTAAAAGAAATTGTTTCAATTTCCCAATCTGGCTTTATAAAAGGTAGGCATATAGCAAATAATATTCGATTTGTTTTAATATTTTAGATGTTTGAATCTTTGTGTAGATTTGGTTTTGGCTCTTCATTTATTAAAATAGTACAGACTTTTTTCAAAAATTTTAACAGCAATGTATCTTTGGTGAATGGTGTTTCTCCCCGGTTTACGGACCTTTACGGGTGAACGTTTCCTTCACAATCTGTCTTTTCAGTATGGCAAAGTATTTCATCTTACTTCAATTGATCCCGATCTCACATATAGGTTAGAATGCCAATTGATTAATTGTCATTTGTATAATAGTTTAACTACACATTTGATTATTCTGTTTAACTCGTTGCTCTTATTGTTCTCGTTCATTCAGTTACCAATGTTGCCCAGGATCTCACGCAGGCCGTTCTTGTTTACGCTCATCCCACATCACAAATTCGCAAACAAAATCATTAGTCAGAGGTTATGGCTAATAGCATTTATTACCATTGGTCACCCATTTTTACCATTATTCTATATAACAACTAGTTATTCTGATTCGTTTGAGCATTGTTGCATTCTTGTAATTCTTTAATAATCAACATTTTATTTAAAAAAGAAATGTTGATAATTGAAATCAATGTTAAGTATCAATGAACCAACAGATATCACAGAATTTTTTTTTACTGAATTCAATTTATTTTCCAATATTTTTCAGCTCGTCTGCCAGTTCCTGTCATCAGCAGAGACTGTTCCGTCCTCAGACTGTCCCCAAATTGTTCAGTGGTGTGTTCATCAGTGTTGAGTGTGTGTGATGCGACTCTGTCCTGGTACGCAGGAATGAGTGTATTGTCCAGCATCAGTGTGTGTGATCTCAGCATCAGTCTCTCTCTACCTCTGGAGGTGGAATATCAGGATAACAACACTTACAGCTGTGTGCTGAACAATCCCATCAGCAACCAGACCACACATCTGGACATCAACACACTCTGTCACACATGTGCAGGTTTGTCAGCAGACGTATATTTTTTTCCTGCAAACTAAGTGAATCATATTTCTGTAATTTAAGTTCTTTATTTTTTCTCTCTGAAGACTATATCCACTGTTGTGGTTTCACTGAAGCTGTGATCCGATTGGCTCTCTCTGCTCTGGTGGGCGTGGCTACTGTTGCTGTTCTGGTTTATGACATCAGATCCTGAAGTCTTCAACAGAAGAAGAGAGAGCAAACGCCATCAAACTCTGATTAATCAGATACTCAGGAAGGTGGAGATGTTCTTAAACGACTGTAGGCAATATATTAAAAGAAACCCTTGAGGAAGTTGCATTCATGAATAAATATAATTTAAGGGATTATTGATTAATTGTATCAAATGTAGATTCTCCTTTTATTAAGAATCCACGATATTTAAAATGAATAAAGACATTTGCTTTCCACCCCCTCTTATCCCAATGATCATTTGAGTTCCTAAGGCACAGATGAGCTGATAGTAGCCGCATTTCCACTGCCGGGCTAGGGCTGGGCCAGAGCAAACAGCGAGCCGAGTCGAGCCAGTGGCCTCGGGCCTCAAGCACCGGGCTTGCATTTCCACTGCCGGGCCAGTAGCCCCACAACGCTGCCCTAAACCCCGCCCCTTACACGCCTTTCTGGATCAAATGTCATACAACCCAGCCCATTTCAGCGGGTTTTATGAATTAATTTATTTTTTAAGTTAGGAAGATATTAGATAACATGTATATTAACTCACTGGCCGTGGCTGCAATAGTTTCCCAATTGTCTCGCGAGTCGCCACTAATAGAGGGACGGTGACCCAGCACACCGTCCATCAAGTCGAACCATGGAAAAATCCTTCTCTGAACTCCGCTTTGTCCATTGTGCATTTTAATTGCCTTGTACAATACTGCGCCCGCAACTTTTTTATTTTTTCCTGAACTTGAAGCGTTACTCGCTGAATGCTTAGCTTAGAAAGTTCAGCATCGATGTATTTCGTAACATCCTTGTTTCTTTACACGCCGTGACGTCATACAAATTGACGTCGTACCCTTTCTTCTGCCCAAATGCTCAGAAAAGCTGTGGTATCCTCGACATACCAGTACAGGCGATTCTCCATTTCAAGCAGCGATTTTTTTTTTTTTTTTTTTTTGCGCGATATTGCTTCAGATCATAATGTTCCATAACACAGATAAACTCCGCCTTTTACCTTGAGCACGCCTCTAGCACGAGCTGGCCCGCTCTGGCCCAAGGTATTCGACGGGCCAGGCCATTGGCCCCGAGTAAGCCCCGATCAAGCCCCGGAAGTGACAGTGGAAATGCGACTGGCCCTGGCACGCACTAGCACGGCTCGGCACTGGCCCGGCAGTGGAAACGTGGCTAATGATCAAGGCTTAGGCCAAATTGTGTGCATTTTGGGGGTCTATGAATTGTCACAATATAATTACAAAGGGGAAAGTCAGAATTATCTGATTTGTCAGCTTGAATGTCTCACATTTGGGTTTTAGTTACATAGTCAGGGAAAGGATAAAAGAAGATTGTAACTTTGCTCTGTCTTTTTTATGCTCTAGCTCTCTTCTCATTCTCCGAGTCCCTTACTTGGGGTTCTCTCTCTTTACCTAACATTTTACATGTATGCTGGGTATAATTAGTGATATAAGTTATCATCTCATACATCTTTTTTGTAACTATTTTAAGTGTAAACATAACCATACTTTGTCATTAAACCTTTTCAATTACAAATAATGTGCTGCTAACTAGTTTTGATTTGGTATTGACTTTGAAGTTCTACCTATTACAATACAATATTGTCACTCTATCAACGTTCTTCCACATATTAAGTTATTGTAACTGCACTTATTTCAGTTGTTGGTATAAGTGGCAGTGGGTGGTAATAGACAAGAAATATACACTAATCTACCATCATGCTTGTAACATTTCTTAAATTAGTCATTCAGCAGTCTTGCAGCCTTTCCCTGCAGGAAATCCACCCTGGGCTTCCCCTCAAGAGAACAAAAGGCTCTCCTGAGAATTAACATTTGAACTCTCTCTTGTATCTATAACAGGAAGATCCAAAACGCAACACAGTTCACACCTAACAGTCATCATCTCCCCTGCTCCCTCTCTTTTCCTCCTCACTTAAAGCTCACTAAAAACCTATGCAATGATTAAGTGTTTATGAAAGTAACTATACATGTAATAGACCTTTTTCGCAAACACCGGAAGTAGCTAACAATAGGTTACTGTCGTAACCCCGGTTCTCTGAAACATCGAGTGGAGAGATCCACCTATGGGAAGGGCATCCGTACCTGACCTCTGCAGAAGCATCCAATTGCACCAAGTCTGGCTAGACAGACAGAAGCGCGCGGCCAGTGCCCGATGAGGCCACACCCCTCACCCACGGGCATATAACATCTGGGCGCGCTGCTATTCCTCAGTAAGTATATTCGCTTCTCGTGCGGCAAGCGGGGCAAAGCTGGTGGATCTCTCCACTCGATGTTTCAGAGAACCGGGGTTACGACAGTAACCTATTGTTCTCTTTCATCATCTCGTGTTCGAGATCCACCTATGGGAGAGACATGGACAGCTCCCCGATTGCCCAATACACTCACAGTGAGGTTCTGAAGCCAGAGAAGGACGGTCACCTCGGGGAGGCGGTGCCTGACACGTCCCTTAATCATGAGCCTGCGATGGTGAAACCACACCTAACTAATGTGGACAAGCAGGACATGAAATACGCATAGGACACATGCGAGATAGTAACCCCAACCCACCAAGACATAATCTATACCCGAAAGGGGAAGAAATGATAGGTGACAGGAATGAACATGGCCAGTCAGCCCATTCACTCTTAATGGTATATATATACCAACAGGGTTACAGCAGGGAGGGGCTAAGACGACCCGACCCCTAGAACCGAATGTGCTACCGAGGTACTGGTGACATCCAGCCGGTAGTAGCGCACGAAGGTATGAGGAGAAGCCCAACTGGCAGCGGAGCAGATGTCCTGCAGTGACACTCCCCTAAACAGAGCCCAAGAGGTGGCTAAACCTCTTGTGGAATGAGCTCTGATGCCCCTAGGGGGCTGCACTCTCTTTGCTTTGTAAGCCATGGTAATAGCATCCACAACCCAATGTGAGAGGCGTTGCTTCAAAATTGGACTCCCTAAGTGAGGGGGAGCCCATGAAACAAAGAGCTGGTCGCTCTTCCGGAAAGCATTCGTCCTGGTCATATATGCCTGTAAGGCACGGACTGGACACAGAGCGTTCAGCCTCTGATCCTCTAGAGAGGTAAAAAGGTGGAGGGTGAAAAGCGGACAGCTCCAACACCTCCGAAGTGAACGCAGGGAAGCACTTCGGCATGAAGGCCGGGTTAGGCTTAAGGAAGACCTTATCTCCACTAAGAGAGAACTAGAGCACGAAGGATGAACCGAGAGTGCATGTAGCTAACTGATCACGTTTAGCAGATGCCAAGGCCAAAAGCAAAGCTGTCTTGAGAGACAGCAGCTTAAGGGATATACTATCCAAAGGCTCAAAAGGGTGTTGAGACAGAGCTTCCAGCACCATGGAGAGGTCCCACTCCGGGACAGTTCTCCTGACGACTGGCAAAGAGCGGCGTGCACCCTTCATAAATCTACGGATTAGAGGGTGCTGACCGACGGTCGAGCCCTCAAAACCCACATGAAAGGCTGAAATAGCAGCCAAGTGGACCTTAATGGTGGAAAAGGACCTGCCTTTATCCATGAGGTCTTGAAGGAAACACAAAATATCAGGAACTGAACACTGATAAGATGTGAAACCGCGCCCATCGCACCACCCCTCGAACACTTGCCACTTACAGCCATATAAGGGCCGTGTAGAGACGGCCGTGGCATTCTGAATAGTGGTGACCACACGCGGCGAAAGCCCAAGTGCGTTCAGGTTCGTCCTCTCACGGGCCAGGCCCAGAGAGCCAACCTGTCCGGCTGGGGGTGGTAAATCTCACCGTTGGCTTGGGATAATAGATCCGTGCGAACGGGAAGGCACAATGGCTCGGCGTATAACAGAGGGATTATCTCCGCCAGCCACGGTGCTTTGGGCCATCTGGGTGCTATCAGAATGAGAGACAGGCCCTGCTCTCTCACCCTGGCCAATGTGGGAATATCAGGCACAGGGGAGGAAAAGCATACAGGAGCACTCTAGGCCATGGGTGGGCCAGTGCGTCTACCCCGAGGGGCGCGTCCACGTCCCTTAGAGAGAAGAACATAGGACAATGGCAGTTTCCGCGCGAGGCGAATAGATCTACGCTCGCCCGTCCAAATCTCATCCATAGCATTTCCACTATCTGCGGATGAAGACGCCAATCCCGTAGATTGGGTTTCCCCTTGACAGCAGATGCGCCGACGTTCAGAATGCCTGGGACGTGAGTCGCGCGTAGCGACAAGAAAACCCGTCTGCTCCACACCAAGAGCTTGTGAGCTAGGAGGTGAAGTTTCGACGAGCGCAAGCTGTCCTGACGGTTGATATATGCCACAGCCATGGTATTGTCGCACCGTACCAGCACATGATGTCCCTGCAGGCGAGGCAGAAAATGATTCAGAGCTTTACAATTGGTAAAAAAGCTCTAAATAATTTATATGTGCTGAACGTAGTCTGTTTGGCCACAGACCGTTCACCGTTTTGCCCTCCTGGGTGGCACCCCAGCCTGTTAAGGATGCATCTGTCGTCACCACTTTCCGCATCGTAACCGCCCCGAGAGGGGTTCCCCGTGCGTAAAAGTCTGCGTTCTTCCAATGGCGCAGGGCTGCAGTGCACGCGCGCGCGTCACTGTAACCGAGCGGCAAAGGTCGCGAATCGGGCTGAAATGTAGCGACAAAACCCATTTCATGAACGCCCTCAACTTAAGGAGTCCTAATGGCACAACTTGGGTGGATGAAGCCATGAGACCCTGCATCCTGAGACATGTGCGATATTGCACTTTCGCCCCTTCTCTGAACTGTGACAGACAGCTCATAGAGAGCGAACGCGCTCTAGAGAGAGGCGCGCTCGCATGGCAACCGAGTTCAACTCCAAACCCAGGAAATTGACATTCTGACTGGGCGTGAGATTGCTCTTGCCCACGTTCACTTGGAACCCGAGCGATGTGATGTGCGCGAGCACACGGCCGGTGTCCTGCAACACCTTCTCCTTCGATTCAGCTATGATGAGCCAATCGTCTATGTAAGTCAGGATTCTCAGACCTGTTATTCTCAGAGGCGTAAAGCCCGCCTCCGCGCACAGACAGAAAGACCGGGGACTCAAACTGAGTCCAAACAGAAGAACTGTGAATTCGCAACATATGCCCTGGTAAGCAAAACGAAGAAAATTCCTGTGCGGAGGATAAATGCTTATGTGAAAGAAAGCATCTTTCAGATCGACTGATGTGAACCAGTCGTTCTGTTTTATGGCACGGGCGAGAGCGCCCTGTGTCAGCATTCTGAAGGTGTATTTCCTCAAATGTTTGTTCAACACTCGAAGGTCCAAGATAGGGCGGAGAGAGCCGCCTTTCTTTGGAACCAGAAAATACCGGGAATAAAAACCCTGGTTCATCAGATTGGGGGGTACCACCTGAATCGCTCCCTTGTTTAAGAGAGATGAATTTTCCTCTTCCAGAATGTGAGAAGCTTTCTCTTCCGTGTGAGAAAAGAGAATGCCGTTGAAATGAGAGGGTTTTACTGTGAATTGCAATCTGTAACCCTGCATTATTGTACGCATAACCCACTCGGGAGCCGAAACGGTTCGCCAAGCCGCTTCGTGACTCGCGAGTGTCCCCGCTCGGGACAGAGCAGAGCTGTGTCTTGAGACCAACAGAATTATTTGTGATGCAATGGCGCCATCTCGTGGGCACACTAGAGGCGACATGCGGGGGTTCGGAGGGGTTTCCTCTCTCTGCAGTGAGAAGGTTCTCTCTGCGGAAAGAGGTTTTTCCTCCGAAACGAATTTGTTAGATTCGTTATTATTTGTGTTTGTGTGTTTTGTGTTGGGCAAACACTGCGTGAACTGGGCAAACATAGTGTGGTGTACACTGTGCTAAACTTTACCCACAAGGAGCCCCTTGAAATTGGGGGGAAAAACACACATCTCCTGAACACATGAACTGGGCAGTCTCAAGTGCAGGCAGAAAATACTATCCATTTTTAAGGATAT